GGGGGGGGGGGGGGGGGGGAGAGCGGTCAGGACCCCCTGACCCCCCCCCCCCCTAAATCAGCCCCTGTGAATACACTGTACAGGGTGCAACATGTCTTGGAAACTATAAGTATAACGATAAGAAAACAGTCTACGATTTGCGAAGCTCTACATATACATGTAAACTTACATCTACCGGTATGATACAAAAGTGATTTTCACATTGGATCACCTAGGCACTACTAAAATTTATGAAATATATATGTTCCGTGGCGTTCAGGTCACTTTTCATATACTGCACTTGTGATAGTCCTCATATGCTATAATCCACTTGCTTGTATATTTATATTTGATAACTACAGAGCATTATGAATATCTTTGTTAAGGGAATGTGAATTGTTGCGACACATATGTGTAGGTTATGTAGGTCTACATTGTTATTGACCCCTCACCATGTTGTGTAAAACTAAAAATATCTTCAGATCAAGTATAACAACCTACGAGACTTGTACATTGAAATCTGAAGGCTCCGGTATATACAAAAGTGCTTGTGCAAATATACATTGCAGTAGCATTATTGACCCTCCCCATACTGCAGTGTTGAAAAGATTTACGTATCACTAAGTATGTTTAGGACATGGACACCTGCTTCCCTGTGGGTGAATAAGCATATCTACTCGCACAGTGCATAACATGTATTGCGACGAGATACAATGCTTATTATTCCCATCTAACACAATATTGGACAACCGCACGCTCCAGTTATTTAAAAAAACAAGTGGAGTTTAGCGAAGAAAACGAAGTCTGTTTCCACGCGCTTTAGTATTAGCTATACGTTTTAAATTCTTAAATAATCCAGAAATTGTTTAGGTATTATCTGACGCATATAAAATAAGTTTTCCAGAGTAACTTTCATTGGGGTTCAACTGTGTTAACTCGTTGAGACAGACGTTCAATATTGACAGCAGTTCAAGTCCCGATTCAACCACTGGAAAATATGGACCATTGTCTCTCATGCGTTTAGTTTACGTTGTGATACTTTCTAAAATAACATCGAGATTAACCAAGATTGCGGCATTTCAAAGCCTGTTTAAAATTTAAACATTGTTTAAAATGTGCATTACCGAAATGTACAGAAATAAAATGTATCAAAAACTTGTTAATGTGGTTATTTATGGAGTTTATGTTTTAAAGCAAAATTGTCCTTTAATTACAAAGAAAAATACTACAAAAACGAGTCCTATTGCGAACTTTTCATACCCGAAATAAAGAAGACGTCGCAAGAAGCCAATCAATAAATACCACTTTTAGTACAGGTATGACAAGATATCAAGACGAAAAAAGTAGAATATAAAGAAACTAGAAAAGCACTCCGCCAAGGCAGCGATTTTTGATTATTATTGATTATCGATTGATTATTGATCCGGATCACCACCAAAAACCAATCATCTCTTCCTTGGCCCACCTCTGACAGTTCCTGAAAATTTCATCAAAATCGGTCCATAACTTTTTGAGTTATGTTGATGACAGTCAGACAGACAGACAAACAGGGGTGAAAACATAACCTCCTTAGCGGAGGTAAAAAAGACGCTTCACTTCTGTCACAAAGTTGATATAAAAAAAACAAACTTTTATTGATATTTATTTTCTAAACTGATTTCATAAGGTATGCCTTGATATTTTTGAGAAAATAGACGAAGTTTCGGGGAAAATTGATTTTTGTTCACATATAACCGCCTAAATCTGTTAGACCCGCTTTAAGCTGAAAGTGATAGTTAACATTTGTCCGCCTTTTCAACACCAATAAACTCATTGTATTGACGTTGTATGTTTCAGAAAAACGCTATAAGATTAGCAAGCAGGGGGAAAACTTTGATAGTGACCTCTACATGCAGAATCTGACCCGTCCGACAGATTTACCAACACCCCGGAGGCTATCTGTAATCCCCGTTGGCGAGGACATTTCAGAGGGACACGCCCATCAAGCGGTGCGGAGTAAGACCGTAAAGGTCCATGTATACAATGTAAGCCAACCTGTGACTGACGGGAAAGGAATCCAATGCGTCCAGATGAGGATAGGCATATCATATGTATATACTCCAATATGTATATATCCCCCAAAGGAGGACACAATAATCTCTGCGTCGCTTGCTGATGGCAACCCTTTCCAAAAGGAACTACTTGAACCATTTATCAAGCTGTTAAGAAAGGACCCTACAATGCATTTAATTGATATTGGAGCAAATCTGGGGATTTGGACGTTAACGGCGGCGAAATTAGGAAGAAAAGTTATTGCTGTTGAACCTTACCCTCCAACTGTTGCAAGGCTACATTTAAGTATAGTGAAAGGACATTTAGAATCATTTGTTACAATAATCACAGACCCTATTTCAGACCACCACCACAACGCCACATTAAAAATGGCAGAGAAAAATATGGGTGGCATAAGCTTGCAGAAACTTCGGCTCAGAACAGCCACACGCGTGTCTACAATAACGATGGATGATTTAGTTCCGTACTTACCGCGTAAAATGAAACGTGCTTTTATCAAAATGGACATCGAGTCTATGGAGTTGCGAGCCCTTTCAAAATGTGATAAATTACTTAGGGCTATTGATATCCCTGTCATTATGTTTGAATTTTTCCAATATAAGAACTTGCTTCAGCGTAAAGAACTTCGACAGTTTGGTTTATGGATGAAATCCATGAATTATATCCCTTACAACTCACTAGGCAAGAATCGTGAACGTCTTGGTGACGTCACAACTGATCGACGATACAGGCAAATCTCAGATCTATACCTCATTAAAAAGGAGAGTTTACAGAAAATTCTGAGGTGGACTGAAGGTGAAGATATTAGAGTTTGATTGATATTATTTTTAGTTAAAGAAATGTCAGTTGATTGCTTTATTTGAGAATTTTGATCGTTTTACATCATTATTGATGAATTTTACGAAACGGACTGTAAAGGATCATTAAGAAAAATATATTAAAGCATCGATAGGTACATTATTTATAAAAAATAACATTGCAATACATCTAGAAAGAAAACTGCCCTCATAAATGCTACAAAATGTTTGTGATTTATCAAAGCTACAAGAGCTCCAGGGCACTTGATATTTCATAATAATAAATGATGCCATTTGGACATTGTAATGTACGNCAGGCCCCCCTACCCCCCCCCCCCCCCCCTAAATCAGCCCCTGTGATTACACTGTACAGGGTGCAACATGTCTTGGAAACTATAAGTATAACGATAAGAAAACAGTCTAAGATTTGCGAAGCTCTACATATACATGTAAACTTACATCTACCGGTATGATACAAAAGTAATTTTCACATTGGATCACCTAGGCACTACTAAAATTTATGAAATATATATGTTCCGTGGCGTTCAGGTCACTTTTCATATACTGCACTTGTGATAGTCCTCATATGCTATAATCCACTTGCTTGTATATTTATATTTGATAACTACAGAGCATTATGAATATCTTTGTTAAGGGAATGTGAATTGTTGCGACACATATGTGTAGGCTATGTAGGTCTACATTGTTATTGACCCCTCACCATGTTGTGTAAAACTAAAAATATCTTCAGATCAAGTATAGCAACCTACGAGACTTGTACATTGAAATCTGAAGGCTCCGGTATATACAAGAAGTGCTTGTGCAAATATACATTGCAGTAGCATTATTGACCCTCCCCATACTGCAGTGTTGAAAAGATTTACGTATCACTAAGTATGTTTAGGACATGGACACCTGCTTCCCTGTGGGTGAATAAGCATATCTACTCGCACAGTGCATAACATGTATTGCGACGAGATACAATGCTTATTATTCCCATCTAACACAATATTGGACAACCGCACGCTCCAGTTATTTCAAAAAACAAGTGGAGTTTAGCGAAGAAAACGAAGTCTGTTTCCACGCGCTTTAGTATTAGCTATACGTTTTAAATTCTTAAATAATCCAGAAATTGTTTAGGTATTATCTGACGCATATAAAATAAGTTTTCCAGAGTAACTTTCATTGGGGTTCAACTATGTTAACTCGTTGAGACAGACGTTCAATATTGATAGCAGTTCAAGTCCCGATTCAACCACTGGAAAATATGGACCATTGTCTCTCATGCGTTTAGTTTACGTTATGATACTTTCTAAAATAACATCGAGATTAACCAAGATTGCGGCATTTCAAAGCCTGTTTAAAATTTAAACATTGTTTAAAATGTGCATTACCGAAATGTACAGAAATAAAATGTATCAAAAACTTGTCAATGTAGTTATTTATGGAGTTTATGTTTTAAAGCAAAATTGTCCTTTAATTACAAAGAAAAATACTACAAAAACGAGTCCTATTGCGAACTTCTCATACCCGAAATAAAGAAGACGTCGCAAGAAGCCAATCAATAAATACCACTTTTAGTACAGGTATGACAAGATATCAAGACGAAAAAAGTAGAATATAAAGAAACTAGAAAAGCACTAGTGATTTTTGTTCACATATAACAGCCTAAATCTGTTAGACCCGCTTTAAGCTGAAAGTGATAGTTAACATTTGTCCGCCTTTTCAACACCAATAAACTCATTGTATTGACGTTGTATGTTTCAGAAAAACGCTATAAGATTAGCAAGCAGGGGGAAAACTTTGATAGTGACCTCTACATGCAGAACCTGACCCGTCCGACAGTTTTACCAACACCACGGAGGCTCTCTGTAATCCCCGTGGGTGAAGACATATCAGGGGGATACGCCCATCAAGCGGTGCGGAGTAAGACGGTAAAGGTCCATGTATACAACATAAGCCAACCTGTGACTGACGGGAAAGGAATCCAATGCGTCCAGATGAGGATAGGCATATCATATGTATTTACTCCAATATGTATATATCCCCCAAAGGAGGACACAATAATCTCTGCGTCGCTTGCTGATGGCAACCCTTTCCAAAAGGAACTACTTGAACCATTTATCAAGCTGCTAAGAAAGGACCCTACAATGCATTTAATTGATATTGGAGCAAATCTGGGGATTTGGACGTTAACGGCGGCAAAATTGGGAAGAAAAGTTATTGCTGTTGAACCTTACCCTCCAACTGTTGCAAGGCTACATTTAAGTATAGTGAAAGGACATTTAGAATCATTTGTTACAATAATCACAGACCCTATTTCAGACCACCACCACAACGCCACATTAAAAATGGCAGAGAAAAATATAGGTGGCGTAAGTTTGCAGAAACTTCGGTTCAGAACAGACACACGCGTGTCTACAATAACGATGGATGATTTAGTTCCGTACTTACCGCGTAAAATGAAACGTGCTTTTATCAAAATGGACATTGAGTCCATGGAGTTACGAGCCCTTTCAAAATGTGATAAATTACTTAGAGCTATTGATATCCCTGTCATTATGTTTGAATTTTTCCAATATAAGAACTTGCTTCAGCGTAAAGAACTTCGACAGTTTGGTTTATGGATGAAGGCCATGAATTATATCCCTTACAACTCACTAGGCAAGAATCGTGAACGTCTTGGTGACGTCACAACTGACCGACGATACAGGCAAGTCTCAGATCTATACCTCATTAAAAAGGAGAGTTTACAGAAAATTCTGAGGTGGACTGAAGGTGAAGATATTAGAGTTTGATTGATATTATTTTTAGTTAAAGAAATGTCAGTTGATTGCTTTATTTGAGAATTTTGATCGTTTTACATCATTATTGATGAATTTTACGAAACGGACTGTAAAGGATCATTAAGAAAAATATATTGAAGCATCGATAGGTACATTATTTATAAAAAATAACATTGCAATACATCTAGAAAGAAAACTGCCCTCATAAATGCTACAAAATGTTTGTGATTTATCAAAGCTACAAGTGCTCCAGGGCACTTGATATTTCATAATAATAAATGATGCCATTTGGACATTGTAATGTATGTTCCTCCGTGAAATGCTACGCTTGGTTTGATGATATTGGGTAATATAATCTCCAATTATCTAAATGTATCATGTTAAATTGAGTTTTGTTTTCTGTTGCACCGTGTAGCTGTTTGTTATACATCCATGGAAACGTGATGTGTGAGATTAGAAATACGAGATGAACAGAAGAGCAGCAGTTTATAGGCTAACTCTGCATCATCTTGGATGTCCATTTGTATGACTGTCAAAGCTTTCCCCCCATTAAGGGCACTTTCAGAGATTAATAATCTTTTAAATATACATTACACCGCTGTTCGACAAGTGATAAAGAACACTGCCCTAGTGATGTTTATACCATACTGCTGAATGTTAATATATGCCATCTATTGATATGTCTATTATCACCCACTTTGATCTGATAGAATAGAAAACAATAAGAATGAACAATGGAGATAAATGTCATTCAGTCAAATTTCATAATTACCATTGACTGATGTTGAATTTCAAATTCATTTGTCAAAATCAACAAACTCGTTAACTGTTTCAGCTATATGATCTTTGCTGACAAAGCATTAACAAAACAAACATACTACAATTGTACGCATTTAAAGTTCCTTATTATAAAAAAGTTCCTTTGTTATATTGTGAAACATGCTTTTCACCCATTTCAGTAGTAAGACCTCAGTAGTGTCAAAATGACTGATAAATTGTCAGTTTAATCATTTATTCAGCGTTGTTAAGCGTTTTCCTTTACTTTAATTTTGATCGATTTCCCTACGCCTTATGTGTTATAACGTGCTTTTCAATAACAAACACTATTATTTATTCATGAAGCTATGAGAACATTAAAAACGCTCACTGGAAGCTAGGGTGAACCTGATTACTGATGTGCAACATCTGAAGTGTCTGTGAGGTGAATTCAGAATTCAGATACACGTGCATTTGTTGACACAATTTTGTTACTGTTAGCTCAGAGACCAAGAGTGAAGCTTTCTTGGGGCTTTTTTATCCACAAGTAGTATTCCTTTAACATAACTCGCTGTACCTGTAAGATTTTTCAATCATTTTCATCATATATATATATATATATATATATATATATATATATATATATATATATATATATATATATATATGTCAAAGGCCCAGATCAAATCTAGTCCCTTGCATAAAAAGCTCAGACCCCATGTTTATTACACCCTGGCTGGGCCCATTCTTTATGGTGTCTTTGCATTGTTAATAGCATAATGGGCAAGTTAAGTGACCAAGTTAATTGACCAAGTTAATTGGCCAAGCTGCCAGTTTGTTTGTATGGCATGTGCAGGGGATGTCTTAGATCAAGGCACAAATGAAGCCCATCTTTAATTTAACATATCTTTAGTAAATGTTACTAAATCAATCTACATGTCTTTTCTTTAAACATTAAACATCTTTAAAAGTATCATCCTCTGATGTATTTTACAAATCATAGGTAATGAAATACAAGTATATCTCATTTGCCACACCTGTAAGTATCATAATATGTACCTTGATCTAAGACATCTCCTGCACATACCATACAAACAAACCGGCAGCTTGGCCAATTAACTTGGTCATTTAACTTGCCTATTATGCTGTTAACAATGCAAAGACACCATAAAGAATGGGCCCAGCCAGGGCGTAATAAACATGGGGTCTGGGCTTTTTATACATAGGACTAGATTTGATGCGGGCCTTTGACATATATAAGGTTCGCCGGATACAAGGGTTGTACTTACTGATTGAAAGTGGTTGATTTAAGATGAAGCAGCTATTGACTGGACAGTTTTAGTTTTCTTATCGTCAATTTCACGGCGAGGCACTTGGCCAATTTGTTTGGCTAAGCTTACGTGTGTCTCTTGCTCTCTTTGACATTGCTTTCTTTTTTTTAAAATTACTGCCAGAGACAGAAATATCGTCAATAAAGCAGTGTTGTTCAGCATAAGACATTGGTTGGGGGGTTTTCTCTGACTCTCCAGTAGATATCTCGTTTTCGACAACCTTAGAGAGATCAAATGAGCATTCGGTAGAATGGCCATGAAAAGAATAAAGATTGATCAGGCGTCTGTAGTTGCCATTAACTGGTTGCATGGAAGATGCGCATCCTTTTCCGCAATATCGCCTTTACTCACTTTAACCCGTTTGGTTCTTTTTTTTTTCGGATCAGTGATCGTGATTGGTCATTTTTAGAGGAGCTTCCGTGAATTCTATTTAACAATTTCGCGGAGGCCTTTCTACAAATTGATTTATGTGCAGTGTGGGCGTGAAATGCTGAGGTCACGGAAGAAGAATAACGATGCTAATGCATGGATCATTTCCTTAACAATTGTCTAATGCACGATAGAGGTGTTAATCACTGAAGTTGATTAGTAATCTAATCGACATGTCATTAAAGTAAGCAGCTAACTGTCTATCAGATGGTATTAGCTGATCAAAATTGGACACCTGGTTATTCACCAAACGGATCAAAGTCTGGTAAACGTATACTGATTACGACGTCCAGTCTGCACAAGTGAATGCCCTTAAAAATAAAATAAGATTTTAAAAAAATGACATTTTTCTAAATTACGAAAAATGAAGAGAACTACAAACTGATAATAACATGGAAAAGATGGATGATGGTCTCAGATCCAAAGAGAAAAAACTTCACGTTTAGCAGCGTATTTTTCGTATATTTTAATATTTTAAAACAGGATGTTGTTTTCGGAAGGGAAGGCCTGGTAGGTTAAATTCTACACAATCGTAGAGACCATTTTCAAGCTATCACTTACGGGACCAAATGTCGCAAGAAACGTGTTAAAAAACTCTGAACTGGAATGTCTTTTATCATTTACTTAGATGTTGCGTAAAATATTCTACCCACGAATCAGATTTAAAATGCAATAACGATACTTCTTTTAAGAGAAGAGTAATTTTGAATATATACAGAACCCGTATACATGTGCTTGCTTGTTCAGTCTTGAAAATTGGTCGGTTTCTAGTAATCAAAATGTTACTTTTAAAATATGTAATGTTTAAAACATTTTAGCTTCATTTGTTATAAAATTTTCAAAGTTTGAGATGAAGCGCGGAGACTTCATGACAGTAGAATCTTATAATGCGCTGTAAGGAACTTATGGATTCCGCAAATGGATTTGGAAGATGGATTTTTGATCAATTTTAATCAATTAGAAAGACGAAGTTAACGTTTGACAATATGTAAAGAATATCGAAAACGCGATAAAAATCTGTTTCATGAAATATTTCCCAGCGTAAGCACACTGACGCTTTCTGTAACAGAGAATTTGCCCTCCATTATATCCAAACAGGTTAGTGTTATCTTGGCGTAGGGCTGGCAAAATCTAGGAGGGAGCTTACCTATACAAATTAATGGGAACCAGATTCTGTATCACAGGGGCCTTTCTCGTACATGACACTCCAATACACCCCCTTTGCCTAAATACTTGCTACTGTGCCTGCGCGTAATTATTTCAATCAAAATGTGTTATTTGTTATGGGCAGTACTGGCAGTTTAATCCCTTCTCCACGTGGAACCAGATCTGTTACCGTGTCTCTTGAGACATACAATGCAATATCCGCTCATCACGAGGGTTAGCCAGATCCACCTCGCCTGCACTATGTATATGCGCTTGGGGCTCGGCGTAGGCGTTCGGGCAAATAAAAGAGACTTGGCAATGTATTCCCTTATTCCTTCTACACACACATATCATACGCGTGTGTTGAGATGTTTTCCTCTGACACAGCATTTGCATTTGTTATTTATTTGTTGGATGTTTTTCAAAAGTGCTCTTGTTCTTGACCTCTGAAAATAAGTAACTACCCTGTTTCTTATCTTTTAAGTGAAAATCTAAGCTTAAAACTACTTTTTTCTGGACATATCATCAAAACCATTCTTGTTTTGCTATATGATGGATGGCCGACAAACCACAAGGCCGTACGAATATTATGGCATAGTCATATGAATTTGACAAATTACCTAGTGTATCAAATAATTCCAAGCTCAATTAACAAAATTGGTAATTCATGATCTCTTTTTCACAATCTGCTTATTACTGTCGCATACGGCAGCTATTCGGTAGTGCCATATGTTTAATGTAATACGTGATCTGAGAAACCATACACCAATTTGCCTTGAAAAGATTTATCATATTATATTTTAGAACGTCTGCTTTTAAGGTTGAACGATGAGAATTTTCGCGGTGAGTTATCTTTCAAAATAAAACCGACAACATAAAAGCAGATACAACAACAACGATTTACAATGCCCCCCCTCAACTTTGTTATCAATTATTCAATGTTAAACAATATACAGTATGTTCATAAACAAGCTGACATGTTAGATTCTTAACAACTAATATATCACTGTAGGATAAGCGATTTGAATACATAGAAACAAGGAGAATAACTGGAGAAGTTTATCTTGAGCGCTTTACAAACTGTAGCACGCTCTCCTCTCTCGTTTTCATCCTCGTCCATCCCTTTGTTTGGTTGCACTTCTTAAACGACCGGATGGCCTTGTGGTTAGAGTGTCCGCCTCCGGAGCGGGAGGACGTGGGTTCAAAACCCGTCCGGGGACATACCAGTCCTTTATAAACGGTACCTGCTGTCTCCCCGCTTGGCACTCAGCACTAAGGGGTTGAAGCAGGGGCCTGGTCTGGCAGTGCAGAAATGATATGTTAGCTCTGAGCGCCTAATATGGCAGCCGGGTTGTATCCTCCCCAGGGAGGCGAGAACGTCTATAGAGTGTAATTGGGCAAATATGACCAGGCTTCTCTCACAAACATACATTTCATTTAAATAAATAAATACTATATATATATCTTATGTAAAACTTCAACCTTCGGGTTGTAATATTCCAATAAAGATTTTTATTATTATTATTATTATTATTATTATTATTAATCTGTCACTCATTTACACCACAGCTTTTCCCAAACTGATCGCACCGATCATATATAGGTGTAGCAAAAGCGTATTGGGCAGAAAATCCATAAAAGTGCATTTTAATTCTGTTTGAAGAGTCAAATTCACTACTACACCAATAAACCTTTTTGCTGCTCTCATTTATCGACATTTCTCCCAATTACTCTAGGGAACATTTTGATTAAGTAGTTGAATAATTTATACATTCAAGAAGGATTATCTATCCATATCATCGGCATTATATTATCAGAATGGATTATCAGAGAAAAAAACTGTTGTCGTTTGGAATGTGCGTTGATGCACACCAAGAGAGCGGGTGCATTGAAATTACATGTGCAATTTTGATCCGATGCCACTGCGAATTAACTTTTCCAATTAAGCCATCTCTAAAATGCCAAAATCGCATGTGTGGTTAATGAAATAAGGAAGACAAAAGCATAATTTGAAAATAGTTCACTTGCGTTTCCATGAAATATTTCATCTTTGGGACATAAATTTGCACACCGCGTCATTAGATTTTTATGCAGAATTTTTCTTATATATGTTGATGAAATAGTTGATGGGTCTTTCAAGAGCATTGATTTACCCCACGCCACTCTTTAAAATATTAATATTTATCATATCTTTTATCTGTTTATTGACGATGAGATTATCACGGTTTTACTATTACAATGAGAACTTTTGCATGTACAACACTGAAAGACAATATTAAATTATATAATGTTAATGGTGAGAGTTTGTATCATTTAAAATTCGGTACTTGTCAGATAAAAGAAACTTCTGATAATCAAACTGCCGTCCCCAAAAAAGGCCCTTCCGTAGAAAAAAAAAGCTTATTCGTTTTGCATTCATATCAGTTTACTGTGTGTGTGTGTGTGTGTGTGTGTGTGTGTGTGTGTGTGTTGGGCGGGGGAGTGTAGGCAAACAACAGGCCGGACATCTTTTCCAAATATATAATTTGTAACACGAACACAGAGAGGAAATAAAGAGAAACATTTGCTTTATTCCACCAAAAGATGCGTTGAAAGAGGTAGTTTTTATACTATCCTTTAAAATTTCAGTTTTCATTTCATCTTGATATAGTTCGTAACCTGTATATAGCATACTGAACGAACTGCTTTTTAGGTGTAGTTTGGTTTTTGAATGTTAACCTTTAAATGTGAGTTGTAACTGCGCTTTGAAATCTGGCGTTGGTGGAAAAATGTGCAAATGGTTCATTCGACGTTTCAGCCAGATTACCGTCTTCGTTTTGCATGCCTGAAAAAGGCAGATTTCGTATAGCCAGTATGGTATCAGTATGGTTATAACAGTATCGGTAGGCCAGGGCATAAAATATGTGCATCACGTCCTTGGTTGTTGGTGCTATATGACTAATATATCGCTTGCATCTATCTTCATTCAGGAAGTATGTTAAGTCAAGTCTCTTGGGTTGAGTGCCGTGCGGTACGTGGGTAAACAAATTTGAATGCAAGGCTTACACATCGCTAACGCATGCACTTATCAGCCACACGTAAACACTTAACAAGACACACATTGAACAAAGACCTGCGTGTCACTAGTATGTTTCAAATTTTAAGTACTTTTTTTCGATCAGCTCCGCGTCTTCTTGAAAGGCGGAGAGGGACTCCTTTTGTATTCATTCGCAATCAACACGTCTGCGCGGCGTGTGAAACGGGTGCTTATAAAGCTGCTTGCCGCTACGCCATCTAGATCAGTTGGCACCGTTACTGTCAAGCCGAAGCCACGCCGTGGTAGGTCGATCATTCATACCTAATGTTATCTGCCGTTTTGAATACGCGAGTGTCAGAACAACATTACAAAATTGTTAATCAGGTTGTATCCAACATTATTTTGTCTTTAAAAGTGACTTTTTCTTGTTGCAGAGTTTCAACATATTGGAAAGCCAACGCTGTCGGAAGATTTGAAGAAAAATAAGCAAGAAAGAAAGAAAGAAAGGAGAAGTTTTTAAAAACTTATTCTACTGAGAAAACCAAGTACCTGTTTCTGCAGTGGTTGTTATAAACAGAAAAGTACGAAGAATACACAATGGCAGCTTTCCAAATTCAAAGTTTGCACACTTGGATCCTCGCCTTGACACTTCTAGTTTGTTTGATGATGTGCACGACAAGAATTCTGGCTTCAAATCTCGATGGAGCAGGTATGTTATTACATGATTAATCTTAACTGAAAGGGGATAATGCATTTGAATGATAGCAATCATAACAGTAGCCATGTTCAGTGCATTCTTAAAGGGAATCGCGTTCGTGTTTAGACTGATATTTGTCAACACATATTCCATATTTTGGCAATGTTATATTGTTCGTATATATAAATGCAAATAATTGCTATAAATATTTTAAAGTGAAATCCTTAACGTTAAGTAGTCAAATACCGTATAGTAGAACCATGGGTCTATTAAACTTCCTCATAAGACTTAAGCGCCGCGTTTTGGTGTTGTTTAGACTGTATAAAAAATCCAGCCAGGGAGTCAGATAAAAGAATTAATTTCCCAAGTCATAACGATATATTGTTATTGCCTAAGCATTAACTGAGCTTTTGCGTGTGGGATGTTTTGATATATACGTAGTCACCGAAATAGTCGTACTCATCGAAAAAAGCAAAAGTAAAATTGAAGAAACAAAGATACATTTTTTGTCAAATAATAGCAAATGAACGATACACAGAGTTATGGTACAAAGAACAACAGTAGACTTATATCCTTATCGGGTAGGGAAAAGTGATTACACTGGGGAAAGAGATGTTGGCAAAAAGTGTTGCCTTAATATTAAGATATTTAAATATTAAACAAAACTGGAGCAAAGCTCAGTTGCATCTGTTGGAACCAAGCCATTAGCTCTGGAGCAACACCACTTATCCGACAGTTCATAATTCACTCCGACCAGCACACATTATAACACATTTAGGAGGCACTAATTACGGGTCGTGTGGCAGATAACATTTAGAATGCTTCAGTAAATATACGGTAGTAAATCACACAAATCGAAAAAAAATTTTTTTAATGATAAATGAGCATGAGATTTCAAAACTTTATTAGAAGCACGTCGGATTCATGTCAGAAAGTATCTTTTTAAAGGAACTAGAAATCAGGCAGAATGAACCTGGAAAATAAAAGACAGAAGCAACGTGAGAGTTCGAAGATTGTCGGAAATTACCGTATGCGTTATTAAAAGAACAATTTGCATGTCAATGCCGGGGCAATATGTGCTGAACTGTAAGAATGTTTCATGCCTGCGTCAATTAAGGACATTGGTAAAGCCGGCGGCCTAAGCTACTGTTTAAAAATTCATAAAGAAAATTGAATGTTTTCGAAGCTTTTGCACGATAGATTCCCCCAAGCAATAATCAACCACTAATTAGGTTTCGATCCGAATATTTCAATTTCTTGTCAGGAGATATCGCGTAGCCACTGACTAGTCGATTAGCCCTTCAGTGGGACCTAGTCATTTACGGGATAGGCTATGTCGGTCTCACCCGTGCAAAATAACACGGTGTCATGCCATCAAGAATATTTACGATTGTCATAAAAAAGTATAGTAAAAGAAGTCTGTATCTTTTCATTCATAAATCTCTGTTATAGTTATAACAAATGTATTATTTCTTGCAGTTTCAGTACAAAGCACAGACCGAAAGTGAAACTGATACTTCATTTTTCTCTATGCTTAATTAAAATATTTGCAATGAAATAAAAAAAAAGTTTATAACAGCAGTGACGTCAACCCATTCATTAAGATTACGACACAGAACGCTAACATCAGTCGAATGCTGTGCTTGTGATAAGTTAACGAATCTAAAATGCGAAGTTTATCTTACATAATGGACAATGGGTATTAGAGAGCATGATGTGCGAAGGCAAACTAAAAAGTTGAAGCAAGCAAAACTACATTGGCATGGCTAACGCAGTTCAAACATCCCAACGTGTACGTGCTCTGATTTGTGAAACAGTTTAGGTTAAACTACCTTCCGATACCATTTTAGTCATATTTGCAGGAAATGTTTTAGATGCTCATCTGGCGGTCGATCTGAAAGGTTTTAAGTATCTGTAATGCTTCCCTTGGCGGCTATTATTGTGATCTCCAGTTCAGTAGGACCGGGAATGCAGTTTAAGGCAGGGGAAATGCCTCATTCATCAGAAATGACCCTTAATAGCTCCGTGAAGTGAATAAAGCCATATAATGATATTTTTGTCAATACTGACATTAAGAAAATGTATAAAACTTGTATTTAAGTCACTTTTCGTTCTGTGTATAAACACTGACAACATGAAAAACAGGGGAGAACGCAAATATATTGGAATAACTTAAAGAGAGCACAGTAGAGAACTTTCTTTTTTTGGCATTATTTTCTCCTTCTGGTAAATTATGGAAACAATTGTTTGAATGATTAATTTGTTTTTATTGATGCGCACTTGATAAAATTGGCAAAACAAAATCGCGTAAACACCAGTAGATATGATTGACTTTGATGAGAATATTCACTTATAAAAAGTTTATCACAACGAAAACCCACTACATCAAAAGTATTATCTGTCCACTGAATCATAAGGGTCATTCCTCCATGGTAAGTAAGCAATATTTGATAAAAAAGCAAAAATTTCTCTACGTTAACGGTGTGCGCCAACGATGCCATTCACTCAGATTTTATCCGTTCACTTATTCATCCTTCAAAACCGATTATCTTTCACATGATGCAACTTTTTAGAAATCTTATTGATATAATATCATACATTTATAGGAATAATGAAAGGGAGTAACAAATTTTACCCCATAATATTTATTGTTTTTTTTCCTTTTTTCTTTTCTTTTCTTTTCTTTCTTTTCTTTTCTTTTTTTTGGGGGGGAGGGGGGGGTGGTGGAGGCCAACAGCCTAAAACACGTTTTCTGAGAAAATTAAGATTTTTGTCATAACCACTTCTAATTCAAACGAGGATTTTGGGGCATTTTTCATACTGTTATACAAGTGATTGCATTGACAAAAGTCTTATTTGTATCTGCCTGATTGCTTTGTTGCAAAATGCAACATATGTGTAAAGGCAATGTACTTAAATACGAAATGCGAAACTAGAATTGTTTGTTATTGATGCTGCCTATTTGCAAGGTTCATTAAAGGCGGTATAAAAAAGAAATATTATAAAATACATGAGTTCTCGACTATACTTTGAAGTAACATACAAAGAGGTGAGTGAGTAGAATGGAGCCGATATGCCACAAGCGTATTAGATTCGACAGCTGCTGCTCCATAGGGAACACGAAAGGCTCATTTTTACCAATGTACCGTCTTTGAAAAAATCTATAAAATGTGACAAAAACACGATTGTCTCACCTAAGGTAATAATATTAATTAACTAATTTTGTGAATATCTCGCGTGGCATTTTTGCCTACAGCGTTATGTCAATTAAAATGCGCAACAGTTTCACGCGATCATCTTACAGTTTCAAGTTTGTATCTCGAACACAAATACCAAAAATACAGTGATAAGTTCATAATTTCAGGAAAAAAACAATCGTAATTACCTCCGCCAAGGAGGTTATGTTTTCACCCCTGTTTGTTTGTTTGTCTGTCTGTCATCAACATAACTCATTAGTTTTTGGTGGTGATCCGGATCAATAATCATTAATAATCAATAATATTTAGAAATTGCTGCCTTGGCGGAGGTCTGCGCTCTCGGAGTGCTCTTCTAGTTTTGGTAAAATTTTAACGTTAAGGTGTAGCCCAACTCTGTGTGTGAAGCTGCATAGACACGAAACACACTGTATACTTATTTGGAGAAGAATGTTTTTTTATTTGTTTGTTTGTTTTGCTGGCTTATTTGAAATTCAACAGTTATAACCAAGAATCTCTTATACAGAAAAAAAAGCCCAAACAATTTAACCCCAAGTGCTTGGTACTGAAGCATGTGTTTGTACGTGAGTGGCGGGAAGGGTTGCAAGGTAGGCCTAATCTTCTGTTATAACTATACATCTTATTGACAAATTTATACTGTGTGACACTTCATCTTATGCACCAGTCTGACAGCAAATTGAACGCATTCTCCAGAGGCGTAGCCTCGGTGGAACTAAACTCAAATAGACTGTGACAAGATATTTCCATTAGTTCAATGGCTGTCAATTATCAAACTTGGGAATTTATTCGGATACTGCTATGATATACACCTTTTTTAAGTATACACAAATGACTTTACAAGAGGTATATCGCTGTATCGTATAGTGGATTACTCATTTACCATCCAAAATTGATACAATTTAAGCATAACAAAGGACCTTAGTTCATTAGATGAGATTAGTGACTAAATTTGGAAACCTTTTTATTGTGAAATATGCAGTCCCATAAAATAATTATGACTCGTCAATGATTTATTAGAAAAATCCTACAAGTCAAGTTGTGCTCTCTCCCGTGGCCTTTTCGGTTAAAGGCAAATGGGAAATTCGTGTTAAAACAATCAAATGCAATTAGTATGCTGTAAATTGGAAAATACATCGCCTTAAAAGCATCTAAATGATGTTAATTAATTTTTGCGCCTGCAAATGGCACAAAAATATACTAATAGAATTTTAACAGTTAAATGTCACAGGCCAACGTTAATCTAATACAACTTTAACAGTTAAATTTCACAGGTCAAAGTCAATCTAGTAATCTATTTAACTATAACATGGGATCGTAACCTACTAAAATCCAATCTGCTCTTGGCAAACTTAAGTTTAGGCACATTGCTACTTTTCTACATGTATCTTTTGTAGTCAATTTATCTAGAACAAGAAGCAGTGCAAGGGTAGTTGGATCATCTAGTGGTTTTGTGAAGTGTTTTAGACAGTATAGAGTCATGGGATAGGTTCAGTATGTTGTTACTTCTATTTTCAGACACTGACGACGAAATTCGCCCACTGGAAGATACACAGGAAGAAGAAAAAAGGTAATAAGCGTTTTTACTAATCGATAGGTAGTCTTCGTGCTTAGTTTTTTTTCTGTATTGTGTTTGTTTGTAAATATTAAGAGAAGAATAGGATGGAGCTAAAAATATTTACTGTCATGCAGTGTTGTCATTTCATATGAGTAGGCGATAATGTTGAATCCGTACTAATTAAAATCTACACATGACGTTAATTTTTATATCAGCCTCGTAGAACATAGTCACATTGACGTGACACTTCTTCGTGCTCGATCTTTTTTTTTTTTTTTTTTTTTTTTTTTTGTCCAATTAACGAATTAAGGACACAAGTCTTGGCATTTAGATGTCGAAAATACGTTATTATGTCTCATGGGGTCTTGGGCTGGGTCTTAATTCTTCATCTGGTTCACAATCTTCGTGGTATTTGTTGATTTATTTTCCAATAACACATTTTTTATATATTTTATTATGTTGTTAAATAAATGCGACAGTCTTTCAGACCGGTCAAATTTGTCTGACCTTAAAGCCCCTATACATACTGCAGTGGCTTTTCGAAACACATTTGTACATTTAACTATGGAGGCATTTCTCAGGCCACTCAAGGTGACCACATTTGGAACAATGGACAATAACGGATACGATCTCCCCAAACAATCTCTCTGGCTAACCCCTAGAGTATCGTTACCCAGTTTAATCAAATCTCGCTGACGTAGGCTTAACACGAACGCTTCCGTTTTCGACATTTGGAAGCGACAAAATATGGGATAAAATAAGTAGAATCTTCGGAGAAACAGAAGAGAAAAAGGGAGGCAGGTGCTGGTTTAGATTTATTCAATTACCTCTCTTCTGCCAGAATGACCCAGCGAATGTTCACGGTCTCACGGGGAGCGCCATTTCAGTACCAATACCTTGGTTTATTATGAAACCAGATGTTTTGTCTCACGGGCTATTTCCAGAATGTTTTTGGCTACAAAATGAATTCAAGGAACAAACCATTAAGGGCAATTCCATGTCCTTATCTTGATAGATTCTCTTTCCTTCAAACGCCAAATACGCGTTGTTAGCATGCGAAATTACGGGATTAGTTTTCATTCAAATAAAAGGTGGAAAAGTGTCGATTATATAACACATTTCTCCCAAGTCAGAAATTGATTAGGAAACGATGAGATAGGAATCTACTGTAAGCGTGAAATGGTTCTAATGTTGAACGCCTAGATGCATGGGCTTAACACTAGGCAATTGCTTTTCCTTTTAGGAATTTTTTGTTTCCATGTATTGTAAGGCTGGGGAGCGAAAGGTATTCGGGAATTTTTATTGTTCTGATCCTCTGTTACTAATCAACGGGCCAGTGGTGAATACTGCAATGATGTATGCCATATATGTATACTAACTCAAACTACATGCAACCCCAGCTGTGCAAAATTCCCTCGGTGTTTTGAGTATCAAGGTTTTGTATTTTTAAAATCTAAAACCATCACATTAACCCCGACGAACTTCAACATTTTCAATCAAATCATTTTACTATGTGCATGCTTGGAATTTATGGAAATAGGTGTTCTGTTTAAACATGCATGTTTCTTGATATTCGGCGATGGTTACATTCAGTCTAGGATAGAAGATAAATATTGGGTCCTAGATTCAATAATGTTTTCCATTCCTGTAACGCGACCCTATTTTCTTGCTGGGAGTGTCCATTATCTGCATTTTTTTCTGTTATTGTGTTGACAATCGCACGAAGCGTAAGAGCAGAGCATCGTTATATATACCAGTTCTTAGGAAATCAAAAACACAAACATATAGACTAATATATGTTCCGAGCAAAATTTATTTTCAAGAGTCTACAAGTGTGTACTAATCAATATATTCCCCATCCGTCTCATCCTACTTTTTTTGCCATTATAATAATAATTATTATTATCATTATTTTATTTTTATTATTGTTGTTGCTCTTTACATGTTAACTTTTTCTTCAACTTGGGAATATTTTATACAAACATTGCTGTTGCTTGTTGGTGTTTAGAATATTTATGATAACTTAGCACCCCCCTTTTATGTGATTTTATGGAGGTGAGGTATTTATGTGAAATATATTTTTTGCTACATTATCTGATGATAACAAAGCGGATTGTTGGCTTTTTGCTGTTGATGTTGCATATATATATATATATATATATATATATATATATATATATATATATATATATATATATATATATATATATGCAACATCAATGCAATATATATATATATTTCTCCCATCACATGATTGGAATACTAACTTGCAGCTGTTTATTGTTTTTGTGATAAACAAGTGTACTGTGTGTTACAATTTTCCCTTAGGCGAGGGTAGGTTGACACTCTAGAAATAACTTTTCTAACGCGATTTCACACAAAATTGTGGAATAAATCAATACTGTGGGCAGAGTATGTAAAGTCCACCTATACGACCATTAGAAAAAGACCCGCATGCAAAATTTATTAAGTTCCATTTAATGCAAGAAAAAAGTGTTTCACCATACGCGTGGCTGACTCCTATGACCACCGTAATGGAATACATAATGAACCTACAATACTCCATACTCTCCATGCTATTATCGTTGAATTATCTGAATATTCCATATCATAAAAAACACAGTTTGACATTAACTGTTTAAAAGTATATTACTTACTTAAAATTTCTGACCTTATTATTTCACTTGGACTGATTCACGTTCGTTTTCTCTCTGATTCATTTTCATTACACTGTATGTCGAATAGATTCATGTTATCATTGCACTCCAAACTTTGCCATGGCTACCTTTTGTGTCTAGCAGATCAAGTAACGAATTGTTTTTGTTTATCACTGACCTAGATATATTGTTTTATAAAATATTTGTTATCTTTTTTTTTTTTTTAATAGGCAACTCTATTATCCGGGTGTGTACGACTACTGGAAGAAATATTGGACCAAAAAGTAAGTGCTGGGAAGGGCGACTTGCTTATAGATTCTGTGAAGATGAGAGCATTCGAACAGTTGACCTGTGTACAATGTTCTGTATGTGTGTGCATGGTGGAATTTTATGTTGGCATTGGCAGGTGCGCGCTCGAGAGAGAGAGAAAGAATAATAGCATTGGTATGACACAACAGTTCATATTTCCTGTCTGAAACACAGAGCAAATGCGTCCTCCAACTTGACATACCCAGCCTCATAGACATTCCATTCTCACAAAGCATCCGCTTCATGTGTTGGTGAACTAAATAATTGATGCCTGACGAGCCTATTAGATGATATTATGTTTAGAATCTCCCGGTAGACCGTTACAAGGCAAATAACCTTAGGGTGGATATCTTAAGTAATTACTGTCTGAACATGCGTCCCAAGATTTTATCCTTATATCGGTTCATTTTCCCAGGGTGCTTAAGGGGTATTGGAACTTTATAATGTACTTTATGTCTCCTCATTAACCCAAGCGAAAGTATATTTGGCAAAAATATATTTTTCCCATTTCTCTTATGTGATATGCTTGTCTTAATATATTATTGTAATAAAAATAAACACTTTTAGACCACAAAGTCCCTTTTCTGATCCTTTATTCACTACCCCACCCTTAAGCACATGGGGTGACCAGGCGTTAATCGCCAATTTCGCTGCTGTGTAAATTGGTAAGAGATAGTGATCATTTTCCGATGTAATTCTGTAACTCAGTAAGATATTATCATGATAATTGGCATGGTTGACGACTATGGTGTAAACCCCCATTTGCTTTCACAGCGTTTGATTTTATATTCTTTTGTTTAGAAAATTTGAACCCTAAATGTTGCATTTAAAAGGCATTATTTCGCCTCTTTTCTGTTTAAATCAAGAGTGATCATCGCAAGATGGTTTCCTGACTCCAATTTGTAGAACAAATAACTATGTTTAAATAATCCTTAAAATGGCGAGGGAGATTTGTTTAACACTGATATTATAGTTTTCAACCCCCCCCCCCAAAAAAAAAAAAAAAAAAAAAAAACGCTACTGTAACGTCATCTGCCCAAATAAAGAAATTCATAATATCACCTAATTTTTGATGCAACAGAATTAATCTCTTAACATGTCAATGTTTATTCCTGTATTATCTAAGCAGAGGAGAAAAAATCTTGACGAACTAATACCGATCCCCCTTAATCTTGAAGAAGAAACCAACAAGACGTCGATCTTTTTTCACACGAAACGGGTCACGTTGCACAATTTACCCAAGTAAAAATGAAATGTATAGTTTGTGTGGTCTATAACTGCATGTCACCTACAAGATGTAATGGTGTGGAGTCTGGCAGTCTACACTTTTTTAAATAATGGCAGTAAGAAAAACAGCAATTGTTCGCTAGTGCCCCTTTTAGGCCTATCGTCGTGACTCAAATGAGTTTGGTTGATACTTAGAAGCACATGTCTGTACATGAACCCCATTTGTTGATATACATGCATTTATAGTAGTTTCAGTACATTCAGGGTACCTTCAGAAACAGTCGGGTTTTCAAGGGCGTGGCACAATATCTCAAACATTTGTCCTTCGGCTATAAGGTTCTGCATCATTGACCTACAGCTTTTAAAAAAATCAGATTTAGCACAATTAATAAGACTAATGTGATCTTACTTTTTCACGTGAAGCTTATCTTATGTAGTAGTCTGTCTGGATTTACTTACAGGACCCGTTCGCAGAATTTCCCTTTAAATATAATTTAATGGACCAGTTTCGTTTACACTTGGCTAGTTTCCTTATAAAATCCCTTAGAAATTTAACGCCAAAGTATACATTTGTACATTTCATCACAGTGAAGGGATATAGCATGCCCATGGGGTAAAAAGCACAATCTATTTAAGAAGAAAATACAATCTAAACATATCTTTCTGTAGCCGAGCCAAATTCTGATATTTTGAAGAAGAATTTCATCAAATCGAAGTTTTGACCTTTCTCAATGGAGATGCAAATAACATATGAAATCCGTTCCTTATGGCAGGGGCGGATCCAGGATAATTTGAAGGGGGGGGGGGGGTCCGCGGATGCAAAGCCGACCCCACCCCACTTGGCGTGGGGTTAGGGGCCTGTTGAAGGGCACCGAAAAATTTTAGTATTTTAGAGGGCGATCAGTGCCATTTGGTACAGTTTACAACTATGATTCAGCTAGTCAAAATTCTGATTTCAAGAGGGGGGCCAGAAATCGAAAGGGGGGGGGGGGGTCAGAACCCCCCTGACCCCCCCTAAACCCGCCACTGCTTTTTATAGAATAATTAAAATAAAAATTCTTGTTTATTGAAATAACTAATTAAATAAGGATGTGTCTTGGCAAATGAAAATGTTAGTTCGTAATGTTTTTGATAAGAAATAGCTAGCTCACCTGCAAGAAGAAATAGCAACTTAATAAAGATGTCTGTATAGTCGATTTGGTCAAGCACAAGGTAAAGACTGAGAAACGGGTGCGGCAAATGACTGATCTCTGATCATGTGTTGTGGAGGACCTCCCTTTTACTTGAGGGGGACCTTCCTTTTACTTGTGGAAGATCTCCCTTTTACTTGTAGGGGACCTCTTTATTATACCCCGACCCCACATAACATGAACTATATCTTTTATAATAAAACTCCAGGAAACTATGGGCTCACATCTTTGGATAACGCAATCTGATTACACTTTTTTATACTGTGGTCTCTGACAGTGAGAGAGAGAGCCAATCAAATCAGAGGGTCACCACCTGCCAAAGTCAAAGACACGTGAGAAAGAATGAATAAAAGGGAAAAAGTAGGAAAAATAACCAATGAATATATGAGATGGTAATAATCTTATACGTACAGCTATAAAGGGGACCGGTATGCCTTTATACCCCATCACACACAGATTTTATAGTGTACGTTTAATTCGAAATTTCCTTTTTGTGACTACTAGTATATAAATATATTATAACCATTTAAAACGGCATGCTGAGTTTTTAAAGAGAAAGGTAGATTGATGCCGTTGACAGAAAAGACACAGCAATTACTCCATTAATTTTAATACAATTTGAAAGTTTCTTTTGTGTGTGATTTGAAAATTTGATGTTAGCTGTTGCCAGTTATAAGGACGTTTTATGCACTATTACTAGTGCAAATCGCCACCCAGGCGGCTTTGATACATTGAACACAGACACACGCACACACAACTCATTCGTACTTATAGATATCAGACATAGAAAGGATAGAAAAAATTCCGAAAATAAAATTTTAATTTCTTATAAACCAGCCTCCCCAATTTAACAAACTTGCACTTTATACACCTTTAAGTTATTTTTGTGGTTAATAATAGTTTTAAAAAGATCCTATACGTCCAAATGTGCACTACTGGAAGCTTGAAGAGATGGTTTTCTTGGCTGGTTAGCCCCACATTATCGTGAGACGATGGCTGTAGGCCCCAGGGGCGGATCCAGGATTATTTTTATATTATTTTTATTCGAAATTTCCTTTTTGTGACTACTAGTATATAAATATATTATAACCATTTAAAACGGCATGCTAAGTTTTTAAAGAGAAAGGTAGATTGATGCCGTTGACAGAAAAGCTGACGCAGCACTTCGGAAATATTAATCCATTAATTTTAATACAATTTGAAAGGATTTCTTGTGTGTGGTAAGTGAAGGTTTGATTGATTTACCTAGCTTTCACCAGTTTTATCATTTCAAAGAGATGACGTTATGAAAATTTGATGTTTGCTGTTGTCAGTTATAAGGACGTTTTATGCACTATTACTAATGGATACGTCCAAATGTGCACTACTGGAAGCTTGAAGAGATGGTTTTTTTGGCTGACTAACCCCACATCATCGTGAGACGAAGGCCGTAGGCCCCAGGGGCGGATCCAGGATTATTTGAAGGGGGGTTCGCGGGTGCGAAAAGGACCCCACCCCCACACCCATTTGGCGTGGGGTTCGGGGCCCGCTGAAGGGCCTCGGAAATTTTTGGTATTTTAAAGGGCGAACGGTGCCATCTGGTACAGTTTAGAACTATGATTTAGCTAGTCAAAATTCTACAAGAAGGGACCAGAAATCAAAGGAGGGGGGGGGGGGTCAGGACCCCCTGCCCCCCCTAAATCCGCCACTGCTATGGCGTGTTGAAATTCGAAACCAAAGGGGGCAATGATCCCAAGGTATATCTATCTGTGGAATTAGCTTGCATAAAGCTGTTCCCTCCCCGCCAGAAAAAATGGACTAAGATTGTAAATAAATAAACGATTCAGCAAAATAAATTAATTGGCGCATCCGAATGGAAAATATCCTGGCAAATTTTTCGGCTCTTAACAGTATGTTTGCGTCAATATAATAATTATTTTTTGCTTATCGCATTCCATAAGGTATGTTGCATTTTTCGTAGTTCACGCAAGAAAAAAAAATTGGAAAAAAGGAAAATGAAAACCATAAAGGTTAGCGACATTGGTGGATTGAGCTAAGAGTGGATTGGCTGAAAAAAGAACTTCGTTGTCAATTAATTTCATCTGTATGTGCTTTCCGGAGCTCCTAATAATCCGACGGCGAAGAGGGACAGCCACGAAAGTTGTACTAGTAGTAATGTAAATTATGGTAATAACGCCTAATACTACTTGTTAGTGTTTTTCTGAGAATCTGTCATATTTGTAATCTCTTTACAGGGAAGAGCGCCCATGGGAGAAATTACCAAACACTAGTTGCTACCGTAAGAAATGCCAGTCTACAAAAGACTGTTGCCAGCGCTACAACATTTGCGACCCATACGTTAAGATCTGCTACGATTGCTGGTACAAGTACCCGTGTAAGACTGACGCCAACTGCTGTCAGAAGTATCCCAACTGCAAGATAGGAAGGGACGGCAAAGGCCATTGTTATTCGTAATCGGCAGGAAGCCCCCTCACAAGATGTGTTATAATGAAAAATGGGTTTTGTCTTAGTTTAACATGTAGTATACATAATTTTCTCTTCACGTTGTACAGTTAAATGAATATTCGTTTTCCTTTACATGGATTTTTTTTTACTTTATAGATCCATTATTATGCACGAACACAAGTCTAACTTGGTTTGAAGGCACTATGTTCTTTGGTAGACAATGATTTTATACATATGCAAAGCAATGGCATTTTGACTAAATCATACAAGCATATGCGCCGGGTTTGCAAGTTTGGTTCTTCTGACAGTTCGGAAAAGTCAACATAACAGTCCTCAAAATGCGTAGATCTATTGTTAATCTTAATATTGACAGAAATTTTGCCTGAGAACGAGGGGAATAGAAACAAACTGTTTCAGTTGAATATAAATTTATATTATAAATATATTGTTATAGATTTACCCTGCGTACCGGTACAATAGTATTTACGTTCGTGCATTTGGCTAAGTCGGAAAGTAGGGGATGTTTGAAGTAGCATAGGCTGTTGTACAGTAATAATAATCTGCATGTAACGGCAACTCAGCAAGATGTATTTCTACAAGTCATATACATGTGCGGCACATCCAACAGTTTAGTGAACGTATTTCATCAGTGTCACAGTATTTTTTCTCTTTTAAGGTAAAAGTAGGTTTGTTTTGGGAAAAACGACGGATTGTGTGTCACACGTTTTGTGTATCACCTTTAATTGCTCTCGTCTCCATACAAGTTGTATTGTCTTACTGAGTTCATGATGTGTTTGGTACATTGAAAATGAAATCCACATAACTTCATCAGCCGTATTACATTTCATTTAGGTTAAGATATTAACTTTTTTGTTTTTAGAGAAAATTTTAACGATAACTGTTACTGTAAATTGGTCAATAAATGGGCAAAAAACTAAGCACTGTGTTTGCCAGGAGAGAGAGAGAGAGAGAGAGAGAGAGAGAGAGAAGCAAAAGCAGAAAGTAAAAAGTGTAAAACTTTTGAAACGTTAAATTCGAGATCGGAGTGCTGTTTTATCCAACCGAGATAAATGTTCACTTCCCACACCTTAGCATATATAGATAAAAGCGACCACACCACCAGTTTCCTTGCAAAAAAAATGCGACATTTATTCAAAAATACTCAGTAAAGTACCCAGTAAATTGCCATTAGTTACAGAAACAAAAACCTTATATGACATGGTTGAGAACGTCTATGATATTCATTTGTGTCGATCGTGTGTCTGCTTTGTGAACTACAAACGCTCTTGCTATGTGTTTGAATGAAAAGGAACAACGGTATATCAAATGTCGTTCTATGGGGTCTATCAAAGACACATGACCTCTGTTATAACTTTTACGAGTAAACTCCATCAGTCTTCTTTTCCGTGACAAAAGTGACACATTCAGATACTCATTCAAACACAAGACAATCACAACTCAATATGATTAATAGATCTTGATTCTGTGAACAGCTCTGGATGTGGTTTACCTTGTTGACTGTGGATAAAATGTTGACATTTCCAGAAAAAATGATTGAAGGAAAATTTTTGGTATAGTTTTAAATCCCCAGACGAGCAAATGTTTCCATGGGTGACATTTCACTTTGGCCCCATTGTCTAAAACGAGATAGAAAGACTTAATTGTCAGTAATCCAACTCTAGTTCAGTAAATCAGAGACAACGCGATCAAAATACACATGTACCTGAATGAAGAATCTGAACGGCTTCTCAGCAACTACAGCCATTGAAGTTTTTATCTATTTCACAGATGGATTGAAGGGTTGTCCAACTGCATGGCACGTCAAACCAAACACCTGAATTAGGTGTGAACGCAACGCAGAGCTCATTGGCATTATTTGGTTCATTCGTCGACCAGTTGATATAACTTAAAGTCGCGTTGCCTTTACTGGAGTGGACATAATTCTGGTTGTCGCCATCGAAGTCGTAGGCATCGTGCAGAGTAAATTGATTGGCGTCTCCGCTTTCTAAACATTAAATGATCAGTGACAGTAAAGTCATTAATATTAATTAAAATTAATTGGTCGAATAGCATATAGGCCTATATACATTTCATTTTGACACCAAGTAGAATATTGGTAAATTATAAATGCTCGAATCTGAAATGAATTGCTACTTAAGTAGTTCATGTTTTTAAAATAAATACACTTCCCGTAATTTGATTAGGCCCTGAAATGCAGAATCTTGTTGACATAATATCTTAATAAAAGTTTTGCATGTATGTCATTTGATAAATGACAGGAAATATATGCCATATCTCAACAACGAGGACCTCCATGAACGCATCCATGTTTTTGTGTTTCGAAATATTTCTCGTTTTATCTTGTATATATGACACTAGATCAGGCAATTACAGACTGCTGCTTTTCATATTTATTCTCACTTGTGTTCGTTACCGTGTAAAGAGTGTGATATGTGTGAGTGTGTTGGTTGTGATGGTGCAATCAACACGATGACTAGTTTTGCAAGTGAGTGTCACATTCAAAGAAACAGCACCTTCTTACTTACCAGATGATAGTACCAACTGTTTTAGGATCAGCGTCTCTTCTGCGCTGTCGATGGAAACTATATCAGAAAAGGGGGAATCTGAACGGCAACTTGCTTGTGCAGTTTCAAAATCGGTCTGTGCAGAGTTGAACTTATAGCAAGAGCACCCCATCTGAGAGTACCCAGCCGGACACAAACAATCTGAAAATATAGGAAGACATATCCAAAAATCAGAGAGATGCCCTTAGCAGTGAGAAGGTGGTCATCTTTGATTTTACAGGCTCGGTTGTGTATGCTAAATGCACGAGAAAGAGAAAGAAAGAATTCAGAAATTTAGAATTGGTTTGAGTATCATTGTATCATGGGCTTGAGTCTACTCATTTTTAATTTATGGTTTATGGATCAAAAAAGTTTAATTTCTTTTGGGTCATTTTATGCGATGTTCAATTAGTGAGGAATTTCGATCCTTTTATAGTTTAAACCCTTTTTATATTAGCAAATGCATTAGTGAACATAAGTAGCATGCGCTAAAGCTGTTACACAAAGTAGTTTACACAATAGTTTATCCGCCCAGATTCAAATACCTCTAAGAACATTATAGAATCACATTATAGAGGAAATTAAAAATAATAAAACTGGTCTATCATACGAGTTGTATAATGTGGCTTTACAAAATGAAGGGTCATCTCAATTTGTCTGAGATCAATGTTAGATCCATTACTCAATTTTTCAGGAAATTCACTGAGCACTAGTTTATTCAAAGGATTTGTAACAATGGTTGTATGATCAATATTAAACGATCAAGAGTCTGCCATCCTGTCAACAACGTGGTGCGACTAGTCCTTTGAGCAGGCCTTATACAAGGAAGGCATCCGATTGGCAGGTTGAATATACGAAAATTCTGAGAATGGATTCAGTGGAGTCGTTGGATATGTTGCAGTTTTGACTAACAAAATCGCGCTGTTATTGTCCTTTGGTGCGGATGAAAAAACATCTAAATTAAATGGTTTCACATATTACACAGTTACAGTAACGTGACTTAAAAAAAGAATATATATATGGCCATCAGTGTCTCTCAGTAACTATTGGTTATAAATATTTTGCGTTTTGTTCCAAACTTACAATGTGTGCATGTGTGTGAGAAAGAGAGAGTAAGAGAGTGAAAGAGAACGATAGAGAGTTATAATATCAGAAGGCATCACCATCAAAACATGTTTTGTTCTCTGAGCAATTTAGATTTGTAAACTGACGCAAAAACTAACGACGAAATAATGTCAATAATTGGGCGTGGTTTTGAAGTCTGAATATGATGGGAAAAAGAAGGCTGGCGAAGAGATTTTCTTGGTTTCTAAAAATGTATTAACTTGCAAGAATGACAAATCGTACGTATAGAGTTACCTCGCGTTTTCAACTTTCTGCATGTTGTAGTGGCAGACTGGAAGCCTGACTGGGACTGAAACAGTAATAATTCAAATGATAATACAAAAGAAATAAGGAACGATATTCTCAAACAGATGGTAAAGAAATAGAATAAGATGAGTAGTCTCACAGATTTTCAAATTATTATTTTTGTCCTTATTTCATTTATTTCAGTTTAAATTAAAATTAGCAAAATGTGATTTTGTTTTAAAATTTGCCACCTCGTCAAATGTTAATCAGTAAAAAGTTGTTTATATTTCCAACGATACACACTAAATAATATTTTTAAGTAATTCACAAACCTTTTCCATGTAAGAAAACCCCAAGTTGACGTTTAGATGAGAGCCATGTTCATCTGATGCCGCGTCCACGAGCTCGCACGAATGGACACCGTTCTCGGGTTCTCTTTGCCAGTTGAAACCTTGGCAAGATGGGTCTTGCGAACAGCGCAGGGCACAGAACGACTGCGCCCGCTGGGTCGTACGCATCATGACGCTGGAGTGGGACACATCGTGTCCGCAACCGTCTGGGTTTGTAAACTGAAAAGCATCACTGCTCGCAGCCACCAGCGCGGTGAAATACGCAACGACGGTAAAATACGTCTGTCCTTCTCCCATGCTGACTTTGAATTAGTTGAAAATAAAGAATCCAGCTAGAGGGATCAATTGATTTATTCTTGCTCGACAACAATGGATAAGTGTACAAGTACGAATGGAATCAGTTACTACAAGAACTAAGAGACCATTCTCAGACCCTAGCGTGCTAACTTTGGATCGAACTTACTCCGAGGGGATTTTCGCTTAATTGCAATTAACTTGGGCGGCTTAGTTATCTGTCACGTCTGCTGAGGCTGATAGGGGTAATTAACCATCTTTTAGCAGCTTTAGTGGGCGTCCCAGGCGTCTCAACCGCTTGGGCTGAAAACAATTTAGCGAGGGACCCCTTGGAGATGGACCGATCCTGTCAGATCGATCTCTCTAGGGATGGGAACCCAGCCTAAGAAATATATGCAGGTAAGTTTAGCATATGATTTTATAAAAGCACTGAAAACTTATCTTTTTACGAAATATGATTGAGCATGTTATACTTTACAACGCAAAATTACAACTTTCTCTTTTCTTTTAAATTTCCATTTAAATCAATCCTTTGAACATTGTCATCTTATTTTGTAGTGACCACAAAAATATTTTCTAGATTTAAATAATAATATATTATTTAATAAATATATTATAAATAAAAGTTTTATTACTTTTATTATTGACAAAGATGGTCAACATGCTGACAGCAAAAGGTAAACGTGTCACTGCAAAACTACATGTATGTGCGTTAAATATTATCTCACTGTTGCAGGATAAATCTTAGCTAAAAATAATCCAATTAGTGTATACCACGTTCAGCAGAAAAAGAAAGTATCTTCGGAAATCACGTCACCGCTATTGCTTTACCCAATGTTACACTTTGTTGTGTTTTTAAATGCCATCCCCACCTCTGGGGCCTTCCTTCTCCAGACCGTTCATATTGTCTTACAGTCAGTACCCGGGGCAACTCCACAATGGTCATTAAAATGGCAAAGACCACTCAAATCCAAAACTACAAAACTGTGAACCGCTTTAGCCCTCGTCGTGCTCGATAACTTCACAGGTGAAGTCAGACGGAATCTCACTGTAAACCAAAATGAAAATAACAGCATCAAAAAATCATCTGGCTAGTTACTGCCGAGCAGTCTTATCAAAAAAAGCGACCAAAGTTGATATTGTTTCGGTAGCTTTCCCGCTTTGGCACCACGTCATACCGCCTGTAAACCGCGTTCAGCAGAAATTTTGTCAAAATTCACAAGGTTGCAATTGCTTGAAAGGAAAACGCACCAGCTTTAACACATTTGGACGCTTTTTAATGATTCCCTCTTTTCAGGGGCTTGCTAAAACTATAATCGCCCCCTGTGCTTTTTAACGTCAGAGGTGATACCAAACTGAATCTCAGCTCAAAACAAAGTGACAGTTTAAAAAAAATAAAAAAGGAATCTATCTTGGAACGCTCCTTGTCGGCTTCTCAACGAAGGTCTCGTGTACATCATCTTCTTCAACGTTCAATGTTAATACGATGTTTGGGGAAAGGCGTTGTGCGGGATGAAATTCATGTTTTACGGCTCAAGGGCTATCGATTGTAATTTCGGGCATTTACATGTGCATCCAAACTGGCCCTCTTCATAACAAGGCATAAAGTTTGCATTTGAATTAGAGCCGTTTCAAGAAGCTACCGCGGTTCCGTGGTAACTTCGCTGACTGGGACACAGAAGGTAAGACACCATGCCGGGTTCGAATTCTAGAACGTCCAACGTAACTTTTTGGTCGCCGGAGATCATTTCTAAAAATTTTCTTTGGTTACTATAAGAGGAAACTCGTACCCACGGAGGGTGGGCGGGTCCCTCACGGCGCAATCGGTAGCGTGCAAGGCTGTTAAAAAAACCCAAACCAATCATCCACCATGGTAACGAGTCACGAGTAGTCACGAGTTCGAATCCCGGATGAGGCATGTCACCTTCCCCTCGTATACGAGCTGGTCACGTGATCGGGAAGGCGCGAAAACGAATGCAGGCGTTCGTCGGTCCTGGCAAATTACCTTTTGCATAAAAAGCCCGTATACTTTCGCATAAGTGATCGATTTGGCAACAACTTTTGCTGGTCGTTATCAAAATGTCTGCCTCGTCGATAACACTTCCTTACTCTTCATTTAAGGTTCTTAAAATGATGCTTAGGCGGGGATGGTCATTGATCTCTATCCTTAACCAGCTACACAACAGATCAAACTTGAATTGAGTCAGTATAGCTAACCCGCCATGGTGCCAAGCACGTCATACTGCCCTTTCATCTGAGAGTGCTGTCTTCTCGGGAGGATTATCAGCAAAATAATTTATTTTATTATTTTCTTTTTCGGAAATCACGTCACCGCTATTGCTTTACCCAATGTTACATTTTGTTGTGTTTTAAATGCAATCCCCACCTCTGGGGCCTTCATTCTCCAGACCGTTCATATTGTCTTACAGTCAGTACCCGGGGCAACTCCACAATGGTCATTAGAAATGGCAAAGACTACTCAAATCCAAAACTACCAAACTGTAAACCGCTTTAGCCCTCGTCGTGCTCGATAACTTCACAGGTGAAGTCAGACGGAATCTCACTGTAAACCAAAATGAAAATAACAGCATCAAAAAATCATCTGGCTAGTTACGTGCCGAGCAGTCTTATCAAAAAAAGCGACCAAAGTTGATATTGTTTCGGTAGCTTTCCCGCTTTGGCACCACGTCATACCGCCTGTAAACCGCGTTCAGCAGAAATTTTGTCAAAATTCACAAGGTTGCAATTGTTTGAAAGGAAAACGCACCAGCTTTAACACATTTGGACGCTTTTTAATGATTCCCTCTTTTCAGGGGCTTGCTAAAACTATAATCGCCCCCTGTGCTTTTTAACGTCAGAGGTGATACCAAACTGAATCTCAGCTCAAAACAAAGTGACAGTTTAAAAAAAATAAAAAAGGAATCTATCTTGGAACGCTCCTTGTCGGCTTCTCAACGAAGGTCTCGTGTACATCATCTTCTTCAACGTTCAATGATAATACGATGTTTGGGGAAAGGCGTTGTGCGGGATGAAATTCATGTTTTACGGCTCAAGGGCTATCGATTGTAATTTCGGGCATTTACATGTGCATCCAAACTGGCCCTCTTCATAACAAGGCATAAAGTTTGCATTTGAATTAGAGCCGTTTCAAGAAGCTACCGCGGTTCCGTGGTAACTTCGCTGACTGGGACACAGAAGGTAAGACACCATGCCGGGTTCGAATTCTAGAACGTCCAACGTAACTTTTTGGTCGCCGGAGATCATTTCTAAAAATTTTCTTTGGTTACTATAAGAGGAAACTCGTACCCACGGAGGGTGGGCGGGTCCCTCACGGCGCAATCGGTAGCGTGCAAGGCTGTTAAAAAAACCCAAACCAATCATCCACCATGGTAACGAGTCACGAGTAGTCATGAGTTCGAATCCCGGATGAGGCATGTCACCTTCCCCTCGTATACGAGCTGGTCACGTGATCGGGAAGGCGCGAAAACGAATGCAGGCGCTCGTCGGTCCCGGCAAATTACCTTTTGCATAAAAATGTGACATGACATTTATTGGAGAGAGGGGGCGTTTTAATTGACCCCGCTCCCTTGCTCTATCTCTGTCCCCCCTCCCCTTGAAATAATTTTTCTTGTATTCAATAGTTTAGCAAGGTGGGAATTCAGTAAAAAATAAAAATAAATAAATAACACGTCATAAGAACGGTATCCACACGATTTGTAGAAATAACTTTTTTAGGCTAAAACAGATGACAGTTTGATAATAATTTTTTTCTCATTTTATTCCTTCATATTATATAAATATAATCAGTGAATTCCTAAACAGTATATAGAATTCAACAGGATCAAAGTTGGAACTTTGGCATTTATCATTTACATAACAAGAATTTCTTACATGAGGAAAGAAGTGGTTGTTTGAAGCATTGGCTACATAAATCAACTCAATAATCCACACTTTCATGAATGACATTGTTGATAGTTTTAAATTATGATTATCTGTAAAATATTTTTGTCTAACATTGGTTTTCATACGATTTCGAGATCCATTAATTTCTTACAATGGTAAAAATTGCACAAACTATTGTAAAAAGGTGAAACCTTAATTGTTATGTTCTTTGTGCGTTCTTTTATTTTTTCATTTTCCTCTTTTTATAACCTTAAAACTGGGTATGAACTGTGCTGGGGACTGGGGATTAGTCATATAAAATCTGTTTTTTAAATAAATGAAAAAATACTTAACAATAACTCTCCTGAGAACCACTCAAAAAGTTGGTCCTTCCCCAAAAATCTGCCCAAAATGAAAGAAAAATCCAATTTGCACCCTGCGGTTGTGTTAATGTAAAATTCTGCTTCAAGGGTTGCTCAAAATCAAATTAAAAGTAAGTCCTTGATGCTTTAGGATACAGCAAAGCATTATATCCAAGACAGCTTAGGCATACTAGTGCCAGTAGTCCTTGTATAAAAATAGACAACAATTGTGAATGTTTAAATGAAGATTGCCTTGCTTCTTACAGCGTCACATCATTATTCCACATCAGTATGCCTAGGCTTCCAGAACAGCTCACATAACCCTGCCAGTTTGTATTCAAATAAATCCTCATTCATGATGTGCGTTTGCTTTCCCTGTCCCCTATAATGCCAGTACTTTCATCCTCCTCCTCATCTTCATCATCATCATGCTGTGAGCCTTCAAGTTGTACATAATTGTAATTTTCTACTTTTCTAATATCTCTCTTGAGCATACAAAGAGTCAGGAGGAAGAGGAATGCGCCTGCCACATACAAACCAGGGAACAATATATAAAGTGCATCTGCAAAACAAAACACATAGACATCTAGAAAAAGGCAAAAATATATCAAGAATAAAGATTGCATTACATTTGATAAAGACTGAAAAGTATATAAGTATTTCCAAATAAATGGCTAATTCATTCTTGTTGACTAAACAACTAGTTTTATATGGTAGATAAAATTATGGATACATGACAGAGTTAGCTTGAAATTTAATTTGCTCATAACTATCATTTCATTATCTTAAGGCAAAAACAAACCAATTTAGCATTAGACGTTATTACGAAAATAAGCCATAACAAAGGAATGGTAATCAAAAACTAAGCCATAATTACCCACTCAGATTTATGTACGAGGCAAACTGCACGTTTTACTTACATCTCAAACTCTCTGCCTTGTCATCAGTCATGACCTCAAAAGCTGTCTGCAGTGGAGGGACCAGGAGAGGAATATTGCCTCCGATGTTGGTGATAATAAACAGGTATACCGCCACAGCCGAGGTACGGACTTTAGAGGGGACCAGCTCCACTACTACTGCCAGTGTGACTCCTACCCACATCTCTCCTGCAATAAAATATGTAATACACTGAAACTGATTTTAAGTGGCAAACAGTCCATTTTTAATGATGGTTATCCTTTTGTACTTTTTTTATTGTGAAGTCATACAGCAACAAAATACATATGCTGTTCTGGTGATAGAAGCATACTTAAAATCTTTCAAGAGAAGTTGCATTGAAATTGTACAGCTTTCTTAATGTCACATGAAATTTTCTTCACAACTTTTTTTATTACGAAGCAAGCAAAATAAAAAGTAAGATGAAAAGAAACCACAATAAAAATCAACTTAATCGAATGTTCATTTAAATAGATAACAACAAATATACACAAACATATTAATTTTATGATTACCTATGATGTTTGAAGGAATCAGACTGATGTAGGCCCAAGGAGCAGGAAGAAACAGAGCACCTGCCGCAAATGGAGCAGCAAGAACCTGAAACATGAAAGATTTATTTTCTTATTATCATACATTTAATTTTTGAAATCCAAATACATATTAAATTCCAGGCACATTTCCATTACAACTATCACAGATTGATCCAACTTCATGGTCACAGTCAAAATGAAATGAAAAAGCTCACAGTACCCGCGAGAGTTGGATTGACTTACATAATAATAAATATCTACCTGACTTGCAACCAGAACTAACACTCTGGCAGTGGGTCCTCTTCTCTTTACAATCACATCTGATATAAAACCACCTAATACTACTCCAATGCTTCCCCCAACAAGCGGGATCACTGACATATAGGTGCCTATCTCATCTGTGGGGCGACCTATGGCCTCAAAATAGGGGTGTGTATTGTATGCCCAGACATAGCCACCTGGAATGATGCAATGTGAATGTAAGTTAAAGTCTATCTTTAGACAAAAAATTATGCTATAACCAGACGTATTCAAAGAAATCTATCGAACAGTTAGGCAGATGGGGTTCCCTTAGTAGGGGGTAAAAGAAAGAAACTGACATATGGGCAGACAGACAGAAAGAAAGAAAGAACACAGTAAACCAGGAATACATAATTGAAGCTCATTTTCAAACGTTGACAGATGCAATTATTTTATCCTCAAAATATTCATTCAGCAAAGACAGAATTTTTTCAAATGTACTCAATCAAATACCTTACTAATTACTCTATCAGAAAAAAAAAATGAACTCAGACACATGCCTGCATTTCTAATGGACCCAGCCAAGCAAAGCAAAATCATGGAAGGGGACAGAAATGGCCGAATGGTTGTGTGTAGTTTTTCTCTGAGCGAAATCCCATCTTCATTCTTCTTCATCTCTCCTTGGTTTAGTCTTCTCTCTGGTTCTTTTACAGTAAGAAATATGACAATCCCAAACACCAGCCCAGGAATTCCACTTATGATAAATACCCAGCGCCAACCCTGAAACAATCACAACAATTTTAGAGTCATGTCACCATTGACACCACAGAGGCACCAGTTGTACATGCCACACTGAAATCCCACAGTTATCCTAATCTGAATGCAGGATCAGTAATCAATAATCAATAACATTACTAACTGGCAATATTTTTACCATACTTTGTATTGATATAGCAATGAAACCTAAAATATTTCATACCCGAGAAAATATTTCTGGTAGCACAAGCAAAGCAAAATATATATATTTTAAAAAGTGAATATATATAAAGGCAATTTATAAATAGTATTACATCCTCTGTGCACAGATACATTTGATTAATCATTTTCTGATTGCTATCACCATACCTGTCCCAGGATATTGGCCCTGGTGATAAAGTCTCCAAGAGCATAAGACAGGCTGTATCCTGTATAGATGCCCCAGTTGTACACCCCCAGTGCAGAGCCCCGCAGAGCTTCATCAAAGTAATCAGCAATGAGTGAGGCTGCAAATGGGGTACACCCAGCTTCTCTGTAAAAGAAAGTGAAAGACCTTGAGAGGAGAGTTCACTCAGGACAAACTGCCAAAACATAGAGTAGCAACAATGACTTTTATAGAACAGGTAAGAACACTCGTCACTTTGCTATGATTATATAAATATTATAATAGAGGATTCTTTATTGATACACCTTTACAAATAAGGTACAATCAAAGACAAAGACAATTACATCTAACTACAACAGTACAAACAGGTATATAAATAAATATACATGATTTCAATGTTTACATGTAGCATAATATCAATAAGTTACTTTATAATAAGTTATATAAGGAATGTATGATGGCAATCTATACATGAAGGTGATGAATTAGAATGAGTACATTGGAGAGAGTACAATGCATTAATAGAGGGCCTGTTCTCTTTGTTTTAAGCATCTATTTACAAAACACATAACCATTCTAAGAATGTCTATGTCTTGGGCACCCATAAGAAGATTAAACAGTTTATTATTGCTGAGGTCGCCCAGGGGTAGGAAATCTGACAGCTGCCCTCTGAAGGAATCACGTAGTGAGTCATACGCTTTACACTCTAGCAGGAGGTGGAACTCATCTTCTACTTTATTGGAATCACAAAGTTTGCACAATCTTAACTCTGCGGGGATTTTTGGCTTGCAGTACCTGCCCCGTTCAATAGAGAGGTTGTGGGCGCTCACACGTAATTTGCAGAAGTTAGCCGTAATATTTTTTGGGGCCATGTGGGTGTAATTTTCACACACAAATTCCTTCTTAAATTTAACATAGGTTCTTAGTTTATTATCACTGCCCGTTTTGCTCATCAATGTGGCCCACTGGTCCTGATATACAGAGTGCAGAGACTTTTTGGTCAAGGTCTGAGCTATCTTACCAGATACTGAGACTGGATTAGACCATAAATTCCCCAGGTTGTTCATGTTAAGTACAGTTTTTATACCAGAGGACCATGTAAACACACCGGATGAGGATAGGGATCTGTTCTCAATCAGAGCATCGGTGACTAAGGTAGACTGACCATTGTATATGGTTTTGTACAGGTGGCACCAATATTTGATGGACAGTGACAGTAATTGGATGAGAATGGGGAAGCTGCCTAGCTCACCACGTGCGGCATGATTAGTAGAGTTTTTGTTAATCCCTAGTATGGTTTTACAGGTTTTTAGGTGGACGAGTTCAGCAGGGGGCTTTTCGCATATATTTAAAAACTTTTCAATGGTCAAATTACGTAGTAGGTAAGGGGCCCAAATTTCGCACCCATAGCTGAGGATTGGAAGTAGGAGTGATTTGAATAACTTTAAGGCAATTTTTGTGGGCGCTGAAAATAGCTGATTTCTTAATTTGAAAAATACTTTGAGTGCTTTATTTTTTACATCCTCCATGGCCTTGGTAAATTTGCCGGATGGAGTGAAGGTCAGGCCGAGGTAACAATATTCGGAGGTGTTTTCTACTGGATTTGTGCCTAACATAAATTGGTTGGTTTTTAGGAGATGGCCAGCCTTATTAAATATCATGATTTTGGTTTTTGCTATATTGATGATAAGTTTCCATTTGGTGCAGTAATTGTGGAGTAGGTTTAGAGAGTGTTGAAGTCCTTGGGCACTTTGTGAGATGAGTACCAGGTCATCAGCATACATGAGGCAGCTTACAGGTTTGTTATTTAAATAGGCAGGGTCGTTTTCTTTATTAACATCGAAAATATTAGGTAGGTCGCTTAGGAAGAGATTGAAAAGGGAGGGACTTAAAACACAGCCTTGTTTCACGCCTACCGTGGAATTTATGGGTTTGGTTAGTTTGTTGTTGCAGATAATAGAGAATTGAGTAGAGCTGTACATGCTATGGATTATATTTATAAATTTAGAACTAAAATTGGAAAGGATGAGTTTGTGGAGTAGGGCATTTCTCCAGACCGTGTCAAATGCTGAAGAGAAGTCAACAAAACAAACATAAAATTTGGATTTGGAGGCCTTGTTTATGTATTTGTCTATGAGGGTCTTTAAAGTTAGTAGATGGTCACTGGTACGGGCGCCTTTTGTAAAGCCAATTTGGTTTTCAGGTATAATGCGGTTCTTATAAATAAATTTGTTGATCCTACTGTTAAGAATTTGACAAAAAAGTTTACAAACATTACTTGAGATAGCAATGCCTCTATAGTTTTAGGGGTAATATATACAAACAAACTGAAATATATATAAATCATAAATTTTCTAGATTCCAAATTCATTTCTTCAAGTGAACAACAAGGTAAAGCTGCTTTAATAATAACAAGTATATTTTTGGAGGAGTGATCACATACCTCAAAGTAATGCCATGAAATATTGCTACTACTGTAAAGGCTGATTGTACAAGTGAGTTTCAAACCATGCTTGCCATAAACCATTTACATCATACAACCCATCTCAATGGGAAGTCTGATAATGCTAGTCAATAGCAGCAGATGTACTTTGTTTCTTTCAGAGTTATTGAAAGAGTTGCTACTGGACTTGCAGTAGCAGTCATCAAATGAATGTCATCTTAACTTATCAGTAAACATACACCAATTCCTTTATTTGTTTTTAGACCAGGTTGTATTAACAGGTCCCAAAAGAGGTGACATACACCTGGAGGAAAAACATTCACATCTCCCTCCTGCAGGTGGCACCACTTACCCAAATCCTAGTCCAAACCTCAGCAACACCAACTGCCAATACTCCTTCACAAATCCTGTCAACAGAGTCATGAGGGACCAAAACATGAGGCAGAATGCCAAGAGATTCTTCCTGTTGTACTGGTCTGCAGCAAAACCCAGGAATATCCCTGTAAAGGTGTAGATGAGGATGAAGACTGGGCCGGCCACAATCTGGTATTCAAAACCTTGCCCATTGTAATCCCATTTGCACAGCTCATCTTCATAGTAGTCTGTAGCAAGAAGGCACCTGCAAGTGTTTATCATATTAGTGATTTATCATATTTATTATATAAGTGGTTTATGCAATTGTGGAATCTGTATTTCAATCACTGAGGTAATCTATTGCAGAAAAAAACACTAACAGAAGAGGTGGTAAGTACTGGTTGTGCAGATGGATATTATAATAAAAAGATATTGATTTCCTCTTAACAGCATCTAATATCAATATCTGTCCTTTGTCAATATGTTCCTATATAACTGAATTTAACAATTTTTTTAGAAATTGATTTGAAAAATAATACATTGATGTCACACAAGAACAATTTTGTAACAGTGATAAATACATCATTATACATTATACATCATATTGTACTTAATCAGTTCAATGATCACCTTATCTTGAGCCTCCAAGTGACCTTAGGCCTGTTCAGTGTTATATTGTATTATCAGCATGTTGATAACTTGGATGAGTTCAATTGTTCAATCAATTACTGTTATTGACAGTACTTATCATTCAGTCTTGCACATCAATAGCAGCTGAGGAGAATTATGATTATATAATTCCTATAAAATGGTTCTTAAATAATTATACAATATTGATATTAAGCCTGCTGTTTACGTTCAAAATCATCAAGTTGCTTTCAGATTTGTCAAAATGGCTAAATAACTGCCAAAAACTTTAGTTTACTAGTTATCTAAAAAAAAAAAAACTCACTCGGTTTCATTCAAAATCTTTTTACAGGTCACGGTTGAATTTTCCTTGTGTGTCACATTTTCAGTGTTGTCTAAACATCCATGGTCTCCATAGTGAATCTCTTGGGCCATAGGCTGGGTCACTATGGCCAAGGTATACCTAAAATATTGAGTAAAATGTGACACTGATGTGCTATAACCCGTAGATAGAACCACATACTAGTAACTTGGCTATATATATTAATGACGGTATGTACAAATTCATTCTAACATACATGTACAGAGTACAGCACATATTACCTGTCAAGCTGGTTAAGAAGATATGCAATGAGCAGCAAAAGCAGTACATAGAGACTGTACAAACTTGCCGATCGCAACTTGAGTGCACTGTCCGCCATACTGATCTACGCAGTGGACAATGAAGGCCCTAAAAATTATATGAAAGGATTGAGGTTGTGGCACATAGCATAACTATTCAATTTAAATAAAATTAGACTTTTTAAAAATTTTCACTCCTTCGTTCTCTCCAACATCCAACTTTAGAGGTTCTAATGGACGCAATGTAAATTTTCACTAATAGCTGGTATCTCTCTTGGTTTTTGTCCTTCACCTTTAACATCAGTGACGATGTGTATAATGTCTAGGCAATTTAACTGATGATAGTTCAATGTCTCAGTGTGTAAACATGTTTTACTACCAGTGGAAGGTGTATAAGTACAGGGGTATATGATTTTAATTTTTAAATAATGGAGCAAATTAGGGAGAAAAAAAAGTAAATTTGAGAAAAAAAAAAAGGTACAAATAAAGCAATACATATATAGGTATATGTACTGTATATGTACTGCACAGGTATTTATAACAAGGTCATCATAGTTGTGGATAATAAGAAATTAAGGATTTCACCTAAGTTAAACAAGATAAATATAAAGCACACAACTGAAAAACACACAGGCTACAGCTGTAATGCCATACATACAGACTGCAGAACTTTATAACATCTAACAAGAAATATCTAATAAATGTTCTTCTAAACTATGCAAATATTCAGGCACGTGCCTATAATTTCATTAATCATTAATTTAACCACAGCTCTGCATACATGTTGAAGACGAAAAGACTACTCTGTACATGTAGTTTTTAGCAAAATGAAGAATTAAATGTTCTGCAAATTAACATACAAAACGACAATTCTGTACTTACACTAGTCAAGATTATAATATCTTACCTGTTACCCTGCTTGTGCTTCTACCAAGTAAACTGTATTTAAAAAATCTAAGTTATGCTCATGTATTCTGAACCGTTGTCTTAAGAACCTGACTCATATTTACGTAAAGTCGGTCTGTGCATGTGACAATCCTAAACAGGAAGCTGCAAACTGGGCATGCTCGCAAACTTATCAACATCCGGAATCCAAGCCGGTGGAAATTCACCGAGTACCCTCACAGAAATGGGTAAATTATTGAGCAAAAGCAAAGGAAGTAGGAGAAACTGGTAAACATTTAAAATTCTGCATATCTTATTTATTATTCACTTAAGCATAGAAGGGCACTGATGTTCTTAATAAGCATTTCGTATAATAAATAAATGTGCTGTATCTAACTTTCAAAATGAATTTTTCTTTGTTCATTAGCATTAAGTTTTTTATCAGACACAGTAAATGGGAGTACTTACGCATAAAACGTCGTGCCTCTGTGTCTGCAGCATGTTTGATTTGTTTGCTCATAATTGCAATTAAAAGTACTTGCACCGTGACCGTATGAAAATACATGATAAACCAAAATGGCAGTATTTTAACTTCATTCTGTTTCTTGTCGTGTTCTCAAGCGCTTATGAGGCAGTTAGCGGCACTGAGAGAAACATGGCAGAGGAGACAGATAGCACCTGTCGGTTACGCCAGTACTCTCCTATACACACTGAGGCTGTCACAAGTTTAGCTGCTGTGCACCCTGGAGCTGTTATTACAGGGAGTAAAGACCAGGTAAAGTACAGGTGTGCATGTATCTGCAGTGCACCCAGGAACTTTGCCTCAGTTTTCAGCGTACTTAATTACCACAGGTACCCGGTAAGACCTCATAGCACCCTGTTTTACAGCACAAGCTCTTGAGGCTATAAATATTCACACCGGAATCAGATTGTATTTGACTCATGCATTTCCATTGAATATTGACCTTACTTGAGTATTGGATAGGCACGTGATTTAACCATGATCTTATTGCCAAAATTATTGAAAAATTTTCTCTCTATTTTTTTCATTTAGTCTGTGGTTTGGTATGATTATGATAATGGCAGTGAGATATCCAGATGGAATGGGCATGACAAAGAAGTCACTAAGGTATGTACACCGTATATATATGAGTAAGTATGTGGTCTCTTGGACTCTCTAAATGTTGCCTTTTCTGAGGCTGAAATGAGGTTTTGTAATGAAATGCATGCTTGCTCAAAATGCTGACATAAAATGCATTAAATCCTTTTAAGATTTTAATTCACATTATAACCTAAAAACCAATAGATATGCTTGCATAAATCCCTTTAAATGATATGTGTTGTTAATCGGAATTTCAGACCATGAAAGGAGGACATGAAATGTCTTGATATAATACAGTCAAATCATTTATGCATAATTATTTGTTTTGTTTAAAGGAAAGGCCCAAACTCCTTTCCATCCTTCTGCAATGTCTAAAGACATCCTATTGGATAACAAGACTCTTTATTACCATTAGGCTGCCTACATCCAATTTTCAAAGGGGAAATTTTTACTCAGCTCCTCTCCTCCATCTTCCCATGTAATACAGAGAGTAAAACAACATGAGAATCATATATGGTGTCATATACTTGAGTAATGTCTTGTAAAGAAAGGGAGCAGAAAGCAAAAATGGCTGATTATTATTATTTTTAAGCTCTGTGCCCACTTATACCCTTGATATGTCAGATTTAATTAACCATTCTATGATTTTACATTCTCTTTAGGTTGCTTATGCCCATCATTTGAACAAGGTGTTCTCAGCCTCCAGAGACAGGACAGTGAAATCATGGCAGCTTGGGCAGTCCCAGCCACAGCACACATTCCAGGGACATGAACTGGTAGTCACAGCTCTATCTCTACAACCCATGGGTAAGATTGTTGTCATAGGTATTTCTTTTTGGTGCCTGTTGCAGAATGGCAATTGTTTTGGCAATTGTGATTTTTTCAGCTCCCAGTACACAAGAAATATAGGAGAAAAAAGCATGCTGTTTATCAGAATATAGTTGAAATGAGTCATATGCTGCTAAAAATTCTCTTTCTGTCTATATAGCACTAGCAGAATTTTTTTCATATAATATAATTTGAGATATAAATATGTTATATATTATTCTTAGGTACAAGTAATTTTGATTAAATTTGTGGTATTTTAAGACATGAAATCTCACAAACCGATTGTTGTATTAGATAGTTTGTAGTGAAAAGTTACATTGTTTACAGTGTCTGTATAAAGCAAGTGTTATTTTTATAACCAGACAACAGTCAGATGATCTCAGGGTCAAGAGACAATGCCCTGAGACTGTGGGATTTACAAACTGGGGATTGTCTCAAGGAAAGTAAAGTGTCACGGAACCTGGTGACAGATATCAGTTGGGCCAAGAACATGGACGCTGTGGCTCAGGTTGGAGAAGACAAGGAACTTAAGTGAGTGCTGTGTGTAAATGAGAACAGGTTATCTATGTAACTGAATTCAAAGTTGAATCTAATTAAAATGTGTAATTTTAATTAGCTTTTTAAGGGTTTGTGGGATAATGAAAAACATGCAGGCATACTTATATTATTAACAGTCTCCAATGGAAACTAATGCGTTAGGTTTTTGTGTGTGAGTGAGTGTGTGTGCAGGAAGAGGGAGGAGGGGAGACGAGGGTCATCCCTCACTTTTATATAAGCAGCAGGCTTCTTTACCCTGGCCTCCTTTACAAATAAGGAGAAAAGAAACAATGAGGCTTTTAGTACATTTGATAAATATGGTGAGGTACACAAGTGACTTATATTTTTGTCAAATCGAAAAAAAAATTTTCACCTTCAACTAACACTGTTTCTCATTCAGGATCTGGGATCCAAGAACTCTGGAAGTGGTCCACTGTTTTCAGCGTAAACAGTATATTCAAACATGCTGTGATCTTACAGAAGATGGAAACTACTGTCTCACATGTAGTAATGGGTTCTCTGGAAATGGGTGTGAAGTAACGGTGAGTATTGTGCCCAAATTACATTCCCTGCATTACTGGGCTTTCTGGAAAGGTATCCTAAATCTGCAGAAATCGTAGGTTCTACTGTGAATGTGCATTGCAAATGTGAATTTTATGTAAGTGAGTTCATTTAGAAAAGAATTTTATCCAGTGAATTTTATATAATAAAATGTTTTTTATGGAACATGCTCTTGATTATTATCAAATTTTGTTTTCTTATTTGACAACTGAAACCACCATGTTATCATGCTGATATAATCATGAGGAATATATCTGATATCAAAATCTTTATTGGAACATTGGAAATTAAAATATAAACTGCAATTAATTTTTTTTTGGACATCAGATAGTTTTCTTTTGATCATAAATCAGTTGGCCTGTCTCTTTTGTTCTATTCCCCTTTATTTAAAATACATCACCCACATTTTCCTTCAGCTTTGGGACATGAGAGCCAAGAGCCTGGTTTGTGAGTACAAAGGTCACACTGAGACAGTGGGAGCCTGTATGTTTCTCCCTGGGGTAGCAGACAGGAGTTTGATAGCCTCTGTATCCAGTGACTGTACTGTCAGGATATGGGACAGGGAAACCACAGGTAGGTGCTGGGTACTAGGGCAGGTAGGGGAGTTCTTCTACCTTCTTTTGTAGACTAAATTAAGATATGATAGAATTTCAACTTTTTTTCCCTTCAGGAATTAATTTTAACTTGTGATTTAGATTTATAAGACATTTTTCCATTAGCCCATTTTATTTATTTATTTATAAATTATTATTTATGACTAAACATAATCCTGCTTGTTTTATGGTGGGTGCACATTTTAAATGATGAAAATATGTTAATTGATAATTGGATTTTTCCAAAACCTTAATGTCTTTTTTTATGTTTTCATTGAAATAGCCTAGGCAAGGATTATATACAATACCATTTGGATTTTATTTGTCTGTTCATCCATCTGTACTAAAGATTACATTTTAAAGTAAAATGTATTATAAAGTACTTCTAGACATTAAAAATGTGTACAAAATTTCAGAATGTGTAGGACAAGAAGTAATAGCAGGGTCTGGCCCTCTGACCTCTATGGTGGCATACCATGATGGAAGGTAGGTGACATGAATTTCAACAAATTCTTACAGTATGAAAATTAATTATTTTGATAGTTCTCTCTCTCTCTCTCTCTCTCTCTCTGCATGTGTGTGTGAATAATTTCCTTTTTATATCAGTGTCACATCATTTCCAGTGATGAGTTTTAATTTATTTTTTAAATAGAAAATCTTGTTTTTCACATCAAAAACTACATGTATTGTATCACAAAGGTATGTATTATGAAGGACATTCTGATTAAATGTATGCTCAATAGGCTGCATTTTGAAAAAAAAATACTGTCTTATCATAATTTTTCCTTTTTAGTATATGTGTGTCCAGCTTCAATGCAGGTATACACGTCTTTTCCATAAAGGAGGATACAAACGGACAACTGAGCTTAGAGAGACGATTCCAATTCTAAATATTTTCACTGGCCATTGAGATGAACCTAAGATATGAAGTGGTTGATATTCCCAGTGAGGTGTTAGTCTTTGACAGGTGCTTGCTGCTTAATATGGAGAAATTCTGTTTACACCTACTTCAGCACTGCTGCCACAAAGATGATATGTACTGTTTGTTTACATGGGAGTGTTTAAACTCGTACTAGAAAATAATTATTGGACCAACATCAAAACGGTTTGTAAAACATGTCATTGAACGTGTATCATATCTTTTATTAAAATTCATAACCATTAGAGCAGATAGCTGTTTGGTTAATATTTATTTGATATTTTTCAGGTGAAATTTATAATTTTTTTACAAATGCATAATATATTATATATTAGAAAAGTACCAGATACTTGAAAGCGTTCAAATTTACAAGCTTTCCGTCCAAGTGATATTCAGTGGAGTTTCCATTGCTCGACTGCACTAAGCACAACCACATCATCTAGGATTTACTTATCACAATCAGCCAGGCAATGTTGTTTTTTACTATATTGTAGTATTTGTTTCATTCCATATCTTAATTACATAAAGAGGAATTTATTTTACGAAAAGAAGTATAACATAGTTGTTAACTTTTTTTTCATAAATATAATATAATCTTGCAAAATTATTTTTATAATCATTTTTAATTTCATCTGCTCGGTATTTTCTATGTATTGATAGGTATTAACTAGAAAAGTTTTGTAGACACTTAGATATTATACACACTGTGCTTATTATGGTCATTCTCTTTGTTTGCAGTTGTTGAGTCATGTAATTAGCACTCTCAGTACATTTTTCATTCAGTTTCACTCTCAGCCAAAGGTTTTTAGGATTTAGGAACATAAAACACTGTTTAACCTGTAATGCATACAAGCAGTCTAATTTAATTGCTTGTAATTGAAAGTCTCGATCATTTCTAGCCAAGCTAAGCACAATATTTTTGGTTGTATTTGATACTGAAAGAAAGAAACATTAGACCATACATGGTAAGTAGGCCTGAGAAATCACAGAAAAAAGACGCTGACTTTGGCTAGTGCAATAACCTGCACCCTGTTTTTCTTTTTTTTTTTTTTTGAAATAATTGTTGATTGCTGAGACACCAGTTAAATTAATGAAGATTACTTTATATAGTGAAGGAAAACAACATGAAATGTTTCCAAAATATTTTACTTTATCACACAAGAATAACATGTAGAAAACATCATAGATTACCTGAAAAAAACATTTTTTAATTAAATGGAGTATTGAACATGATTTAATGGTGTATTGCATGATGAGGACAATAATTGAAATACATAAAATTACTGAAATGAGATGAGGTAAATTGTCAGCGCTGAACATGCTCAGACCATTCCCCTTAAGCCACTAGTGTCAGTAACATAAATCTGGGAAAACTGTACAAGTACAGAATGTCAATCTTATCACAACCATGCATTTATAAAATATGTTTACAAACATAGGTGCATAAAGTTATTGTCTTTAGGAAAGATATTATTTGTATTTCACCGGTGTTTTGTATTGTGCCAATTCTGCTTCTGATGGTCAAACGCACAGTCAGAGTTATATTTATAAACGATTGTATCAAATCAATCTGAACCGGTGATGTGCTGAGTGATATTTCACCAAGTGGCGCCCTCTATTGAGAGACGTCTTAATGGTTAACTGCCAGTCACATTAGATCACCCAAATGGGAAGGATGGTGAATTTCTCCTCATTGCAAAAGTGGAACAATATGTTGAAAATGTGCTTTTAAGGCCAAAAAAGATCTTAAGGAAGGTCAAATTTTAAAATGGCAGTTAATGATAGACCGATATGGAATCATACAACGAGATTGTCCTATTAGCAAGATCTATATTCATGCATCTGATGCACGCTTACAGAGACGAGAACATTTTGCACTTGTAGGTAAACTTGATTGCTGAAATACACATCACACTGTCAAACAAACAAAAGAATATAATGAATAAAGACAACCATAGTTCTCAAAAGTTGATTGTGTATAATAGATTGCAACAGACTGCCATGTTAGCCTTCCTTGAGCCGCTTCAACCCCACCGGGTCCCTCCTAGTGGGCAATGTTGCCTGCGAGAATATATGAAGAAGGCTCAGGGTAACTTGAAAGGAACATCCAGAAAGTCTTCACCTGTTTTCCATAGTGACTGAATTAAAAGATATATGTAACGTCAATATATAACGTACGGTGTACGCATCATGCAACTTTTGCTCCAAATGCTGTGATGAAAATGTTGAGAACAAGAATAAGAAGTAGAACAAGCTCGGAACCATTAGAAAGTTTTTCTGCCAACAATTTCCTTTTCAATTTTTTTATGTGTCGTTTTGCTTCCTTTGCGAACTCTTCTTCGTCATTTCGGTAGTCTTCCTGATTAGGAGCCGGGCCGATCTTAACATGGCCGTACATAGCCTAAAATAACAAAGATTTTGAATTTTTATATTGTAAAGTGTTAACATTGATAACAGCAATTTCTCCTTTGGAATCTACCTTTTACCATCAAAAATGGGTGGGATAGATTTTTTTTATTTAAGCAAACAAAATTGTGGTTGTGTAAAGATTCGGAGCCGAGATTAATGCGATGTGATTTCAAGACTGAACGCATAAATTTTGAAGACATTGTAAAGGGGTTATCCCTAAAATCCGTTTTGGTACATTGTCACAGCTTTCAATTTCTAAATACATGTGTACAAAACGTACATCAAACCAAAGCATCCAGGCCAGAATCAGCTGTAGTACCACACAGATAATAAGTAGCACAAGGACCACGTAGAACTTTACATCACGTGTGGTGGTTTGGAGAAGAGTGTCCATGCGCCCTGCGTTTGCTACCATGAGAGAGACATCTATTAATCTGGAAAACATAAGGTACAAAACATATTCTGATGTATATATTCACAATTATATGCTGATATATGAAAGAGAGAGAGAGAGAGAGAGAGAGAGATTAGCAATTACTTTTCAATACAATAAAATATCCTGAAAGATCACAGATAAAGATTATCATAGTTATCAGTTTTGCTTTCTTTTTAAGTAGTATCGCTTCGTGTTAAATAATAGGCAGTGTCTGATCAGCACTATGATGCTTATCTTGAAATTTACTTTACGTTAATACCGTATAAAAGAATTGCCTCAAACGTTTAGGGTCTCAATCATTCGAGCGAAATTAACAATCAACACAGGATATATATCCTTTGTCGCGAGTAAATAAAATTATTATCATGTTTTTGACCTTGAGTGCCATACATCACTGGCCAGATCAACCTGATAGGATTCAAAATTTGGATCCAAGGCCAGAAAAAAAACCGCAGCTAGTTGTTGTCCCCTTGAAACGTGACAGCGGCATCGTTTTTTATAAACAAAGTCAGTTTTAATTCCTCCGTTGATAGCTCTAAAACAATGAGAGTAATACAGAGACAAGTACCTGAAGTACGTGCACTTAAACTAAAATCATAGCGAGTGTAAATCAAAACCACATGTAGCCTATCAACGTCACGTACACACCAGATATTACCATAGGGCCTTATCATACTTGTTGTTTAATTCCATAAATTAATTTTCAGTTTACCCAACCTTCTATTGGATTAGAACTACATGAACTACATGTATAAAACCAATCCCACTCAATTCAATTCCCACATATGTGAAAATATATAAGGAGAAAATTTACTGAAGGGGTCAGTAGGTGAGTTAGCTGTCTAGTGAGCTACTGTGAACTGATATTTAAAAAATAAAGCATGGCGGATTTAGGGGGAAGGGAGAGTCAAGGGGGGGGGGGTCCTGCAACCCCCCCCTTCAGTTTCTGTAAAAAAATCACACCGATATTCCCCTATATTCCCCTCTTGAAAGTATAACATTGACTGACCGTACCAAATTACAAAAAAAAAAAAAAAAAAAAAGAAAAAGAAAATGCCAAAATTGTCACACTTGAGTTAAAGAGGATAAAGAGCACTTTTTAATTAATTGCCTCTATACAATGCATACAGAAAGGAACTCCTTCAAGTAGAACGAAGTGGAAACTCATGTTTTACATATTTGAACAACTATGTCAAATTCTCCTTCATAATGGACAACCCAAACAAGACAGTGATAATATCTTTGGCCTTTTGAGAAAAGAAAATGTGTTACATGTACCACTTTGTAGTGTTTACAATTATACAATTATACAATTATAATTATACGATTATATATATAATACAAAGGTCCATTTCATATACTGAAAAACTGTATAATGTGCAGATCTATGTAGCTGTTATCCACGTGCATGTACATGTATAATAACACTTAATTCTTTTTATCTCTGTACATAGGCCTACATACATGTCCATGTACTTTCACACCGGCCTAGTTTGATGTAAAAAGTATAAATAAAGGATATTATTTATATATTGCTGTATTGTTAAGCAACATAAAAGGCCTGCCAAAATTCCAGAGACCCCGTAATATAAAAAATTCCAGTAACTTTTAATATGTAAAAATGACCCAGTCATGTACATGTAACTAGGTTAACATAGGATATTCACAGCAGTCCTACATTCTCTGAACTCGTTCATCTGATTGTCTGCGTACATTTAATTCGGTGCTATGAGGCCTATGTAGATTGTCAGTCTTACCCTTTACTGGCATGTTTCTTCCGCAACAGATTACTAACAGCATTTCCCATAGTAGTTTGTATCCGGTGGGACAAGGGTATATTAATATTTCAGCCCTTACCCTTTAGCGAAATGCTTCTTCTTATTGTAGATTTCACCGGCTTGCGATTGAGGATTAGCCATCACGATGAAATGTCGAGACACAGAAGACTGTACCAGGTTCCTCGTTCAAAATCTTATCATACTATATAGGCGGCCTATTGGTAGAGTAAAAAGACGCGAGTAAACAAGGACGTGTATGTAGTTAAGTAGGTCAATGGCGGTGAAGTGTATGTAAATATTTTTGTACGATGTACTCGGCACGTCGTTTATTTAGTGCGCTTGCATCATATAGGCCTACAGGTAATCCTTGTGGAGACCCAGTTGAAAAATAGTTTGCTTAAGGTATTTTTTCTGCGGATATCATTGTATTCGGGGTTTACATGAAAAGGGGGGTGTTTATATGCTGGTACATTTTTATTTATCTATCCTACGTGTAGGCCATGCATCCATTTCGATAAACTATTTTTAACATTTAATTCAACAAAACTATCACCGAGAGAAAACCATTTATGCAGCAAGCGTTACCTCAGTATTTCTATGAATTGATATGACAGTACAATGTTATATATCTGCATCAGTTAAAACCTGAGTTTCATAGGTCACGGTTGCTAAAACTGGAAACTGTGGAGTTATGCTTACAGATAATAGAGCAGAATTCCCAGCAACATCTGTTATTAAGGGGGGGGGGGGGTAGTTTCATTTTTTTTTTTTTGTGTGTGTGTGTGTGTGTGTGTGTGTGTGTGCCCCTGAAACTCTACATATGGGTAAATGTATTAGAAATAGCTAATATGATTCAGATAGTGGAGTTCCATAATAAAAGCTGCCTTGTTTGGCCAACCTTCGTACAATCTATATTCTTTGTAGCCTTCTTTATGCTTTCTTGATGTGAATGGGACTATGAAGGTTTGTGGTAAACTGGGATGGAGGAGACATAAACAACAAGACGTGTTCTTCAAAACGAAATCTCATTTTATTTGCACAGCAGAAATATGGCATCTAAAGATTACCTGAATAAGACTGGTTTTGATCACATGAAGTGTTATTTATTTATTTATTATAATTGTTATTATTATTATTATTATTATTTTTTTTTTTTTTTGCAAAACGAAAAAAAAAACAGAAAACACACAACAGTCAAATTCAGTTTCATTTTGGACTTCTATGTGAAGTTGTTTGGCAAATTACAAATCAAAATGAGAAATAAAACAAAAAATGTAAATGAAATAAAATCACACAATAGTTCAAATTTGACAATGTTACATAGCTTAAAACGCTGACTGTCGCGTTAGCGGCCCAGATGCAACCAGCTGGCAAGATTGTCTCCTATTCAAAAATGGAAGGTTTACTGTAAATTGGAATGAACATCCAGTCAATTATAGCCATACGTACCGTAACGTCAGCGTGTATAATGATGTTCAAGACCCTTTTGCTCCAAATGCTGTGATGAAAATATTGAGAATAAGTATAAAAAGTAGAGCGAGGTCCGCACCGTCATCGAGTTTTTTGGCGATATCTCTGTTGTTAATTCTCTTTTCGCGTCTTTCTTGTGCTTGTTCGAACAGTTCAGCATCATTGAGACAGTCTTCAAGTGTAGGAACCGGACCGGGCTCAATCTTACCGTACATCGACTGCAAAAATAGAAGATTTGAATGATAACAAATAAAGGAATATGTGAATATTGTTAACTGCATTTTTACTTTGGAAAATCTCTCCTTCATATTTAAAAGTGTGTGAGAAAGTTTTTTATGTAAGCAAATAATGAACAAAATAGAGGTTGTAAAAAGCGCGAACTGAAGAAATAAGGTTTGGTTGATCGAAGGAACTGAACAATCAAAGCAAATGGATTTTTTATTCACACGTAATACATATAAAAATTTCACGTACATTGAACCAAAGCATCCAGGCCAGAATCAGCTGTAGTACCACACACATTATAAGTAAAACAAGAACCACGTAGAACTTCACATCACGTGTGGTGGTCTGGAGGAGAGTGTCTAGGCGCCCTGCGTTTGCTACCACCAGAGAAGCGTCAATAAATCTGGAAAACATAAGGTTAACGTTCAAAACATTCTGATATGTAGAATTTATGTCCATAACTAAGGAGAAATAATTGTCGCATATTTTTAGAATCGAAAGCATATTAAAACACACACTCCTAAAAGATCATAGGTAGGCCTATAGATTCTTTTGCTTGGAAGCTAGCACACTTCCAAAAGTTATCAACTTGAATCTTGTTCATTGTTAAACGTGTTTGATTCGGAGGGAATGGGAAGGTGGACCAAAGGGTGCGTACGCGACTGTTCTAAACATTCCAACGCTTGAATTTACCACTTAAACAGACCCCTTTATAATACTGCATGTGATCAACAACATCTAACGCCCGGTGCAACCTAAGAGACCCTATAGTATGGACATGTTAAACAACATCACATTCGTAAATGTGCACTGGTATAAAAATGGTTCGAAACTAGGTTAACACAGAACACTCATATTAGCCCATATTGCTCTTGATTTATCTGAGCGTGCACCTGTACGTGATTCTCCTCGTACTGTATACATTTAAATCAGTACTATACACAGAGAGACAGTTTTACCCTTTATTGGCATGTTTCTTCTGAGAAACACATTACTAATAGCATTTCCCATAGTAGTTTGCACAAGTATTTAAGTTCGAAAATCCTTACCCTTTTGCGAAATGCTTCTTCTGATCATAGACAATATTTCCATCCCCATTTACAGCTGGGGGTTGTGGTTGAGGATTAGCCATCACAAAGAAACGTTGAAACACACGGGAGTTCGTCTAAAAGTGTAGCCTAACCAAGAAGTTATAACTTCTTGGCCTAACCAAGCCTGCCTGGTCCCTGTCCTTAAAATCTTAACTGACTACACTGCTAGAGTACAAAAAGCTCGAGTAAACAATAATAGAGTTTAGTAGGTCAATGGAGGGGAAGTGAAGTATGGGAAATATTTTTGCGCGATATTACGCTCGTTTGCGCCTCCTTTATATACAGATAATTCTTGTAGAGGCCCAATAGAAAAAAAATGGTATTTCTTCAATGGATATCATAGTATTCAGAATTAAGAGGAAAGGGGAAGGCAGGGGCGGATCCAGGATTATTTGGCGTGGGGTTCGGGGACCGCTTAAGCCCCCCCCCCCCCCAAAATGGTATTTTAGAGAGCAAATGGTGCCGTTTGGTACAGTTTAGAACTATGATTCAGCTTGTCAAAATTATAATTTCAAGCGGGGACCATTGGTGCGATTTTTTTTCAGAAATCAAAGAGAGGGGGGGGGGTCAGGACCCCCCTGTCCCCCCTCTAAATCCACCACTGCAAATTAATAGAACACCGTGAAAATTCGATAATTGTACTAAAGTGGGCCCCGAACCCCACGCCAAGAGGGAGGGGGAGGGTCGGCTTCGCATCCTCAGACCCTCCCTTCAAATAATCCTGGATCCGACGCTGAATTTGGGACTTTCCGTACATTTTTTAAAGCAGACGGTAAGTACTATTGCCGAAAAATAATGCGCGAGAGTGATTCACGTAGCACTGTGTATACATCTGAATATTTTGTATTTCTAAATTTTGAGAATTAATTAAATCAGGAAAGTGTTTTACATTTACTACCATTGATGTGAAAAACGCATTTGCAGTGCTATACATGTGTGTTAATCCTGCATAGTTCACCCTGAGTTTCACAGGACAAAGCAAGCTTACAGGTTTTAGAGCGGTGTTTCCAGTGAAATCTGTTATTCAGGGTGGCGTATGATTAAATAATTTATGTTCCCTCGAAACTCTATATACATGTAGGGGTTAATCTACTGAGATATCATTCATATGTTTAACATTGCCATCTGAGCCTTGCAGTGCTGTATCCTCCAGAAATCAATTTTTAAAATTTTAAAAGAAAGTTAAGTTGTGTAATTTAGTTAAATGGAGTTAGAAAATGGAAATTGAATTATATTCAATATTACTTTGAAGTAACTTCCCCAAGCACCAAAAGAGAAAGCTACTGTTAAGTTAATGCAACCGCAGGTGCCTTTTCTCATATCCACCGGTTCGAGCTACTCTCTGTCATTTTCAAAGTATATGGTATACTAGCTCAATTAATATACTTCAGTTTATATGTAAATCCTAATTCACAAGTTCATGTAAGGTGGCCGTTTTACCGGCTTTTCAGATGACAACTAGAAAAAGTATGTAAACTATTTATTTCATTTTGAAATACAGTATTATCTGATATTATTTTTCTCAAGAATAGAAAAAAGGTTGTAAGAAACAGTTTATACATGTAAAAGATCTTTTCACTTAAACTTCTAGATTGCATGGTCTATCGCTGTGATAAACGCTATTATTGAAAAACTCAAAGCCGTACGTCAAATATCAAATATTCTGAACATTATATTTAAGTGTGCATCTCAGAAAAATAGATATCGTTTCCTTGTGCCTTTAAGTGCCTGCACAATTTTTCTCTCTGATTCAGTTAACTATTCGCAATTTCATTTCACTGCTACAAAAATTAAAAATTCCGAGTTAACGAGACCATCGTCAGTTTCCAAATATTTAAATAAATTCTTCTCTTTTCCGGTTGTTTGAATAAAGTTAGCAAATATAAGATAATGGTTTTATAATGTTCGTCGTAAATTGTCCGTTTTTCCTGCCAATATTTCTTCGTCTGTTGCTACTGACATCCGTGAATCAGTCAACTTTTTTTGGTTTTCGAGGGAGATCTGTTAATAAAAAAACAATTTTGAAATTTCTGAATACATTTACGCTTAACAATATTCTATTTATAGGACTGAAAACCAGAAAATACCAAAGTAAAACGTAATCTCTTTTTTTAAATAAAAAAATAATGGACCAAATAATCGATCTAATGGAGACTTGACAAAATAAGAAACTTTAGATAAATCGAGTAATAAAATTACCAGCCTACGGATTCTATTTCTCATCTGGGATTAATAAGTAAGCAATTAATTCCGTAATTTACCTACCTGTAATTAGCCCTGGATAGTATATTTCCCACCTGGATAATACGGATACTTCTGGGGGTAGTAGTGTGGATAGTGCTGCGGGTAGCGCTTCGGGTAGTAGTTCGGGTAGTAGTTCGGATAGTAGTTCGGGTAGTAGTTTGGATAGTAGTTAGGGTAGTGGCTGGGGTAGTGGCTGGGATAATATGGGTACTTATGGTAGTAGCTAGGGTAGATGCGACCTCCTGTATACACATAGTTGTTTCGACCGAGCTCTGCTTGCGCTACCATAGTAACTGTTGCCAGAACAAGCAGAACACACAACAACTGTGTTTTGTATTCCATTTTGTCGAGGATGTTGACGACTAAAAAATAAAAAAAAATAATAAAAAAATCAAAACCAATCAACGTTAAATCTGTGATAAAAATAACTATTCAAGGATGTAAATTCAAAAACCAAATATTTTAAAACAATAGTGAAAGGAGAGAGAAAGAGAAAAAATTACGAATAGTGTCAGAAATTATGAAACCTTTTCACTTCTTCAAAGACAAACTTGAGTCGAGCATTTACTAAGGAGCAAACGTGTTGCAAGTTAGAATAAATAGCCAAAAAGTTTGCTGATGCTCACCTGACCTGCAATCTGTCGCGGCTGTGGGAGGTGCAAGCACACGCGGACCACAAACGGCTATATATATAATACGGAGACGCGTGCTCATTATGTATGCATAATGGCTTAATGGGTGTTTTTTATTTCAGTGGAAAATCACAATTTTTAAAATGATGTTGTTGGTTTTGTAATTGCACCAAGCTGATAGATATGCGATCTCATAGCCAGCGTGTACTCAATGTTCACGTAGGACAAGTAAACGGGTTTTCAAAAATATCAGAACTCACTTTTAAGTGTCTTAAAAGACGCTGAAGACTAAAAATGTAGGCCTACTCGCAGAGTGCATGGTTTAACCAGGTAATGTTAATGCCAATCAACATGCTATAAAATGATAAGACGAAGGCGAATCATGCTAATAACATGACCTTAAAACAGATAGATCAGCAGTTGGACACCCCACAGCTTGGCAGTTACGCTGACCGACAGGCAGCTGCAAGTTATCATATTTCAGGGGCGGAATGAGGCCGTCTTCCGGAAGACGTCAGATTTTCAAGTTTACATTGACGGGTATCTATTTTTTTCTGTCGAAAGACGGTCAAAAATGGAGGATGGATCAACAAAGATAATTTGGAAAACTATAAGAAAATAGCTCTAGACTTGAACCTGTATTTCACTATTTTTTGGAAGTAGTTAAAAAAATAAAAATTAGGCTGCACATATGCAAAACAAAGAGATCTGTTACAATTTTGTTATTGAAGCAGTAAAACAGTCAAAAAAGATGGCAAAGTTTAGTGTCCGTGAAAATTTGAAAGCCTCTGTCTCTATCTCTGCGTAGCGACAATTTAACCAGACAACGTCTCTGCATGTATATGATCAACAGAACTTTCTAAGTTACGATAGACAGCAATTTTGTGTTTTCCATAATAACGTTCATAATTAGATTTAAAATATAATGTTGTTATTGATGTTGTGATAAGCTTTTAAAAACACAATATAATGGCCTTTTACCATATTTAGCTGGTAAATTGGACTGTAATAGATGAAATGGGAGACCCACCCAAACAGGAAATTATAAGATTTTTTTCATACGTTTTTTTTTCGAAGTAGTTCCAAAAATCGTTTGCTAAATGAACCTGTATTAAAGCTTGTTGGAAGAATTGAAATATCATCTTATTTTTGCACGTAAATGATGGTAAAATTAGGTACTGATGAAAACTAATTTTTCACTGAAATAATCGAGCTTTCAGCGAAGAGTTCTGAATGTAATAAGTTTGCTTTGCAACGACAACAGAGTACACGTGATTTATTCAAACAACTTTTTATCTATGCTCAGTTGCTCATTTAATACTGCTTAGTATTGTGCAAACAATTGATAGACATTTCAAACACGTAAATGCAACTGAATAACGGATTTGGATTTGGTTGCTCTGTGATTCCTTGTACGGCATAATAGATATGTATAACGATACAAACATTTTCCCCATCTCATTACTTTTTCTTATCTATCTCTCTTTCTCCTTACCGACAGAAAAAATACTATAATTGTATATTTGATAACCCAGTAATGGTCAGTAGATATGAACGGCGAAGAAGTAAAATTGCAGGTTGGCAGTAGACACTGATTGCCGCGCTAATGAAGATTGAATATATACGTCCTTATGGGGGGTTTATCTACGTCTCTGGTAACCAACCATCAACGTAGTAATACCCGCAGTAGATGCTTTTAATTCACTTTTTCTGGTTATATAATAAAAACGGTCAATTTATGCATTTAATATTTACGGTTATTTTTGACAAATACATGTTTTTTCTCGGTATATAACTTTACCTAAGACCTGCTTCGTGATCAGAGGCGTACCTCAATGCTCTACTTCAATTTATGGTTATAGACAGGTGTGTCGGCAATTTATAATCTGCTGCACTTTAATATATAGGTGATTAATATACTACAATTACATGTGACTCTGATTCTGTGGCACACATAAACGAGAATATCTGTGTGATTTCACACCAATTAAAAAAGAATATTTTATCACGAGTGAGAAAAATCTTGGAAGAATTCTTTATTTTCTCTGGTGCGCCGGCCATATCCCATTATGCACGAGTCCCATTGCGTTCTTTTTATATCAAGCAGAAACACAATAATGCCAAGCAACCGGGTAAGAAAAACGAATTTAAATTTAACTTTTTCTCATTATATACTGCAGACATTGAGAAAAGACATCTCAACACTCTCTCCCACACAGGTGAATTTCTTTCGATATTAAGGTTCTTACCGGCAACTCCATGGGATTTTCCCGCCCCAAAATGGATTTTCTCGGGAAAATAAGCAACTTTCTCGTACACACGAATCATTTATCTATCCCTATATACAGCACTTGAATTCTACCCTTAATCAAATTTATAAAAGTTGATTTGGTTTAAAATGACTGACCAATCATTATAACCAGAGACCATGCTCCTATGTAAAAATCCAAATCAAGTACGCCCTAGAAAAACTATTTTAGAGGTTAAATTGTTTTAAGGTTTATGTAAGATTTATCAGAAGGTATGGATGGCAAAAAATACGCATTTTCAAACTTATGGAGTGTACCTTTAACCTTGGGTTTAATGTTGCATCTGTTTAAGAGGTTTTTCTATTCTATCTACGTAACAGTTGAATATCAGAGTTCTATATTTTCGACTAACGCTGTCTACACTATTTTTTCGAGAGACCAGAGATAAGATAATATTGACCACGTGAGTGAAGGCATCGAGAAAAAGACAGCAATTGAAAATAGAAATCGTTGAATTTATTGTATGTAAATGCATAACAATACTGTATTGGCGCTTGATTAAAATGTTTGTTCATAATATCCTTTGGTAACAGAAAATGACGATTCATAGAAAGGCTCTCAGATTCGTTATACGAGAAATCTCTCCAATATGCAGATTACACGTGGAACAAAATAAACATAACGTTGAACATGTAAGTTTGACACTTAATGACGTTATTTCTCTTAGTCGTAGCTAAGCTGATAGATGTTAAGGCCCTCCTCAGCAGCACATACATCTACGAGGATTTTTTCATATCAGTGCTGTTGTAGTGTCGTATTCCCATCCCAAGAGTTGACAGCCACGCCGCACAATGAGTACGTCCATCTGAAATAAAAATGCTTTTCTGTAGAATATGATATATGAGGGTATTATCAGTCTTCACGTTTGTGCACGTTTTATGAGGAAGAAAATAAAATATTCTAGGTTTATGTCAAACATATCAAACATATCAAAAATGGGCTGTGATTATAATGTTTTAGTTAAATTGCATGATTTCATAAAGTTTATATTTCAAGGATTGTTTAATTCATTAATTCTTATACTATATAAGGAGATGATTCAGTTTGAAATATTAAGTTTGGTAAAGTGTACAAGGAAATTGTGAAAATAATAGAATTTGAAGGATAAGGCCGTTGATTTGTGGCCTTATGGTTTTTGACAGCGTATACATGTACATGTTAGCTGTCAGTACAGACAGAATTATCTAGACAATCGGACAGATAGTAGTTAATGTTATAACACAGAATATTTGGATTACAGTGATTCAGTGAAAAAAATGACCCGTGGCTAGATGTGTGCACTCAGTCTTACCAGTAACCTTGTCCAAAGCCAGGATATACGCCACCGTATGTTGGAAAACCGCCATATCCGTATCCTGTGCTATATCCATTGCCATATCCCCCGTATCCAGTTTCGTATCCGGCTCCATATCCTGGGTAACCTGGCCCGTAAAGAGAGGACCCATAGGGGGAACCGTAGGTAGAGGCGCTGAACGCGGATCCATATCCATAGGGAGAGGATCCGTAGGCAGAGGCCCCTAAGGGAGAGACGCCGTAGGGAGAGGCACCGAAGGGAGAAAAGCCATATGGAGAGCTGCCATATTGATTGCCATACGGACTGCCATACTGACTGCCATATGGACTGCCATAAGAACTGGCATACTGGCTGCCATATGGACTACCATAAGAACTGGCATACTGGCTGCCATAGGTCGGGGTTTGGGTCTGGCTGGTGGACCGACTAGCCGCATATCCTCCCTCTCCAGCCGCCAAGTGGTTTGCTGACACTTGCTGCAGGAGAGCCACCAATGCCACGAAACACAGAACTTTCAGCATATCTGCAGTCAGCGTAAATGTCGAGAAATTTTAAAAGTGTCTTTGGCACTTTATGCGATGGTGGCTGTGACCCTTTCCAAGCAACCGGCTGAGAAGTATGAATTAAAATTCAACTTCTTCTCATTATATACTGCAGACTAATGAGTTCCATTATGAGATAAGAATCATCTTAACACTCTCTCCCACAGAGGCGAATTTCTTGCGATAATAAGCTGCCAAATAATCTTATGTATAGTTTTATCGTTGCAATCGCTAGTCCCTTAGCCATGCATGTATTACCAGTACGAGCATATATCATCGTTAAGGTGACGGACAGGCACAACACAAAAGAAATATTGAATATTTATAACATTTCCACAACATTTGGCATCGGTGGCTGTACTACCTGCACATAGACTTCTCTGGTGCAACATTATATTAATATACCCAAATATTCTACAAAAATGTAAAAAATACTACACGAGGAACGAAAGTTCTTTGAGTTTGAAAAAAAATCAACTACGTGTACTTTAAAGACTTATCTTCAGTCGATTTGTTTTTACACGGTAATTTTCCTTTTATTTTTTTAAATTTTATTTCATCTTTAAGCTTAGTTCCTATTAATTCCATTTCATTCAGTTTCTATTTAATTTTCAGCAGTATCGGATTTTTAGCAGGGCATGTAAATATTTTGAACCTGTGCTGCATGGGATTTTTAGATAGGAAAGCACATGAAATCAATTTTGGATGACTATGATTGAACAGTAAAAGGTATTTTAATAAACTGTTTATTGAAATTTGCGAGAAATGTAAGCACAGACATTCAAAACTAAAATGGTATCAAATAACGGAGAAAATGTTTTGTTTTATAAACGTATGTCTTTTGCTTTCATTTTCTCACTAACCACGTTATTCATTATTCACTATTATCCCACGCGGCTCCGGGCACGGTATTGTTTTTGTTGTTTTTTTATCAAAATAGAATGTAATAAATTACATACGCAGGAGATTGCCCTCCGGTAAAAGCCCCAACCGTCAACGACCAAATCTGGAGGGGGTATAAATCCTTAAACGCATGCAGGGTACTGTTTCACAAACGAGTTTGCTTGAGGGAGGATGGGGGGCACAAGGAAAAATAACTTATGTAAAATAGAAAAGTTTATTTATATTGTTTTTCCTTTGTGATATAAATCAACTGTTAAATATTGAAGTTGTTTACCTACAATATGTCAATGTCTGTCAGAGCATCTTTATCAAGTAATTCAGCAGATATGCCTGACCCCCCCCCCCCCCCCACCTACTGCCTTATACCGATATTAAGAAAGACCGTTATTTATCAGAGCGGATGGCACCGTCATCATTTAGACCAAACTCTGTATGGAACGGGGTCAATCAATTTTACTTGATAGACTATTTAAATAATCTTAGGATATGAAGCAAGATATCTTGTAATATTATAAATGATAGCGGAACTATTTGTACTGCCAGGTCACGTGCACTCTGCAGTACAGTACGTCTAAGGGCAGGATGCTATGGCTTAACATTAATACTACATTGTTGGTCGTCTTTTTAGCAATTCTTCGTGCATTGGGGATTTAACATATACTTGTAGAAAACTGTACGCACTTTTGAAAGTTAAATACATAACTTCAATGTATTTGTCGTAAATTAAACGTAAAAAGTGATAATAAAAACTCGCCCAACTCAATTTTCGGATGTTTATTGTTACCTCTATGTTCAACGTCTTTGGTCCAGCAAGATAACTTATTACAAATGTAGAACCACAGAGCAAAAATGCATGACTTATATGGCAATTTTGGAAAGCAAATGTTTCCTATCAGTAATTCATTCACCTCTGTGTAACTTTCATTGCAGAACTCTTTGGCTCATTTTTGTTAAATTCAATATTTAAGCATGATGTAAGCGAATGCAATTTGGAGTATGTTTGTGGTACAAAAATACTTTACTTCGAGGAGAAGATATGTGTCCGACTTCAAATACATATAGCCAGCATGCGCTTTCCACAGTATTCATGTACAAGTAGAAGTGTTAGAAGCGGTTACTCCATGTAACTATACAACGCCCATATAGACACGTTTTATTCGGCAGTTTCTCTTGACTGTAGCAAAATGGACCGTCAACGCTTAAACTTCACTGACACCTCAAAGTTCATAATTTTCCGTCACAGTTCACTGAGACTTCAACCAGAGCTGCTCCAAGGAGTTGCACTTGTTGACTCTAGAAGGAAAAAAAGAGAAAATGGAATCTACTTTCCCGATAATATAATGTTATACATTCAGGAAAGTTACAGCACTTTTTAAAAAAATGAAAGCATGCGCCAGATGCCTTAAACACGAAGAAAAACACTCTCGTGCGACGATGTTTTCGTTCATATTCACAATTCGTTCATATACGTAAAGAAATTAATTGAGCCTGTATTATTTGAACATAAAGAATAACATATACGAGGTGAAAATGCATATACTTACAAGACTTAAAATATTCGCCTTAAAAAGTAATGGAAGCATCTATCCATGATAACGGTGAGGGTATCCGTACGGAGAAGGGTATTTGTATCCACCCCCATAACCTGGGTATCCGTAGCCATATCCAGGATATCCGATGTATCCGGCGTATTGGTAGTTTCTCTTGTAGGCGTCCGCGTAGTCTGGGTAGCCTTTGAAGTACGGGTTGTAGCTGAGGCCGTAGTAAGGTTTAGGGTAGGACGAATATGACGGGTACTTCGGGGGGTAGTAGCCGGGATAGTAACCGGGGTAGTGTCCAGGATAGGAACTGTGGCTGGTTAAGTGGGCGGCCTGGCTGTACGTGACAGCTAGAACCACTACTATCAAACCGACCAGCTTCATACTGCTTACTGGAGATTTCTACAAAAGCTGCACCGTGAGCAGACAAGTTCACCTGTTTAACCGTCTGGCAGGTGCCGCTCGTACACTGTGCTTATGTATATGACAAATGCCTGCTGCCGAATCAACATATGTACGTATGCTGACAATAACCAATTCATGGATGACAGTGTGGTACTTATTCTTATCATAATTTAACAACCTGAATTTTTAATGGTCGAGGCACCGTTAGCGTGTTATTGTAAAGCACGAAGGTGGTGTTATAACGATTTGTTTCATTTAAACCGTGACAGCGTTTGCAAGCATCATAATTAATATAGTGCTTTATCTGTTTTTTATGCTAATAAAAATGAGCATTCTCTGTTCTTGTCGTTTACCTAATAATTATGCTAATGAAATATATAATGCAATCAAACAAACGAGCAGTTGTTTTGGTTTTACAGTGGATCACTATAAACCATATTTTTGTGTTCGTTGCATTTGTCATTCTCGACAACAGCGAAAGTGAAAAAAGAATGTGAAGATAGCTGTTCACACGGCACCATCTTTGACGAGAATCATTCCGGGTTTTCAAAAAGGCGGGGGGGGGGGGGGAGCTATTTATTTATTCATTTCATTGTTTAGATGGTGGGTGCAATGTTAGAATGTTTTTATGGATTTCACTGTCTTCTCTTCTTCTTCTTCTTCTTCTTCTCTTTGATGCTTAAAATGTACTGCAGTGGGTGTCGCTTTTCGATACTTTGTTCTGACAACTCTGACAGCTGTCACACAGAGCTCCACAGTGTAAAAATTCCGTTTAAAAGATTATAGATCAATAAAATTTAGATGAAAAGATAATGGACATTGGTATTATTCGACCCTTGAGAAAAAGACCTCACTAAATTCTTGCCAGTGAATTTTTCCATATGAAAGAGATATTGTCCAAAAACGTCTGAACTGCTATAGATAAACTTACCCTCACGAAACCCACTTTTTTAAAACAGCACTTGTGTTATCATTATTGTCGTGAGTCGTTTAAAATACGGAATTAACATAATATATACCAATTAGATTTAAATGCTGCTTGTCCGTGGGTATTTTATTGATGTAAATTAAGAGAATGGTGCCGTTTGGATTCAACGCGGGTTTGTAGCACTGTTATCTAGCATACGACACCCTGAAAGCGAGCACTTGTAGCCTATTTAGTTTCTATTATCTGTGTTTCCATCATTTCCTCAAGAAGTCACCGGGTACAGCCAAACGGACGAGGCATTGGACCTGCACGTTTTAAAAATACTTTGAACATGCCGATGTGTCCATCTTTGTTCTTCGTTTAATATTCATGTAATTATTCATACTAAAAGCTCTCACATACATGAACACTTACAACTGTTAGTAGACACACAGTGTGGCACGCTCGAGAAGTTCTGGCACAAACAGGACATTGGTATCTTGTTGTGTATTTTTTTTCTTTCCCTCATAGTTACAGAGGTCAAACATGAACATTCAGCTAGAACAATGACGAAGCCAGATTGAAGTACCCGGGTTAATCTCTGTCTCACTTTCCACTTATTGTCCTTGACTTATTTTGGCTTCTCTTTTTGACCTCAAGAAAGATAAGAAATAAGCAGCTTTTAGACAGAAAAATATCATTTTGGTACTTTTTTAAATCGCGGATACTAGAAGTAAAAGTATACCTTTAAATCACTAGAACTGTCTACATTAAGCATTTTACAAACATAATTTTGAAAAGACATCCTCATAAAGCTACATTTATAATTCTTTCTTTCTTTCATGTTTGCCATACCGACGGCTTGTAAGCCCTAATCTAAAATCGATTGTATATTTGAATGTCAAACAAATGCCACTTTATCATGGCATAGAAATAATTGTGTTTTATGCACGCAGTTCTAATTAATCAGGAATTTGTACTGATTTTAATTATTTAATTAATACCTTATTTGTATATATCATTAAGAAGAAAACCAAACAGATCCGTCTTATAAAGTGTTAATCACGTTAAAACAGAGAATAGGGACGCCATTTAAAATGTTCTTTATTTCGTCAGCTGAATAGATTGAGTTGTAACGTGATGATCCACGAAGCACGATAGCACAAAGTTAAAATTGGATTTTAAACGCTTTTTATCATTAAAATTTTTAGATAACTGGCACCTTCCCACTGATCCCGCTCCCTGTTTGTGGAAAAGAATTTGTAACGATCTCAACACTGGACTTTATAAGCACTGAATTAAGGAGTATGCCTTTGTGGTTGTGACGCTCATTTTTGTAGCAGGCAGATTGGTGCAACTAACGCAATAAGTAGCCTGGAGCACCACCTGCTGCGATCCGATGATCCCAGCTGTAGCAATCATTAATACAACCGTCAGGGACCCACTAAAGTCAGGGGCGGGATTGAGGCTGTCTTCTGGGTCTTCCGGAAATTTCTAAGTTAACATTGATGAGCACCTAATCTTTTTCTGTCGGAAGACGGTCAAAAAATGGAGGATGGATCAACAAAGATAATGTGGAAGACAGTCAGAAAATATCTCCGACTGTACAAAATCACACTGTGCTTTTCAAAATTTATTGTAACAGATTACTAGGGCACCCTGTGGTCAGAGAGTATATAGTAGAATCGCAAATCGCTTATGTACTCTGGTAATTTTTTAGCCTGTTCGTACGGAACAGAAAGTAGAAGGGAGATTAATTTGAATGCATACACACGGAGACTTGTGTCAAAAATGGATAGCTTTATTCTGTCATTTCATGTCACAACAAATATAGAGTCAATAAATAGAGTACATGATACTGCAGCCTGCCTTTGCTTCACTTTCACCTCACTTCCCTGGGTTTTTTAAAGAGCGTAACGTCTTTCTTTTCCAGCATTCACATTCCTGCTCTCGCTCTCTGCTCTGCGTCTTAATTCACAACCACACCGGTTTGTCGAAACACTACCTTAAAGAGAAAAAGTTACGACACATCTCAACATCGGATCGGCAGACTGAGCCCCTCGTGCTCCGAACTCAAAATACTAGTAGGCATAACAATTTCTATCAACATTTCTAAATCCTTACGTGATCTTGCTGTTTTTCAATAGTAAGCCTACTTGCAGATCCTTCGACAATAACCAAGTTGTACATGTATATTGAAACATTTGAGATGCACACCCTACTAAGAACAATTTTTATTTGTACCAATTAAACAATAAGTTTACCTACCAATTCAACATTGATATTTGGCTGTTTCCAATTTCAATATCCATATGGCGATGGATATCCGTATTTGGGTGGGTATCCAGCTGGGTATCCGCCATAACTTGGGTATCCGCCATAACCTGGGTATCCACCATAACCTGGGTATCCGCCATAACTTGGGTATCCACCATAACTTGGGTATCCACCATAGCTTGGATATCCGCCGTATCCTGGGTATCCACCGTATCCTGGGTATGCGCTGTAACCTGGATATATTCCATAGCCTGGGTAGGCGCCATTGTCCGGTATCTTGGTCACAAATTGCCTGTCATAGGAGTCTTTGTAGTCCGCATATCCCCGGTACCTGTAAGATGGCATCCGGCCGTAGTAGGTACCGGTAAGCACATAGGGGTTGCCTTTTACACCCTGGGGTACAATGTACAATGTGCACACTGTCAACAACAATATACAAACATATTTCATCATTGTTCTGTGTAAAAATCTAAATCAGTCTGCGTACACTGTACAAAATACGCCCTTGCTCTCTGTGACTCTGTGACTCTTGGTCAGTGCTCTATTGCCAGCTAGTCACCTAGCTAAGTCACGACCAGGCATTTCGTTTAATGATCCTTATCTCATTTTATCTTAAGTTCATCTGGTTTTAAGCAAGCATAGTGGTAGAGCTTTTAAAATTAACCTCGAATCTAAATTATAAAACAATTAGGCAGTTGTACTGTAGGTAGACTTAAATAGGATGGGTTTTGTTAACAGTAAACTTCATTATGTTCACAGCATTATTACAAACAATTTTTCAAATGGTATGAAAGTCTTGCATTGCTTACACCTTCCTGTATTCGGAGATGAACATCATTTTATAAAGCGTTTAAGTTCTAACTATATCGAAATACCTATAAATATTTACCACAGAGAGTGGACTGGACAAAGAAATATTCAAGTATGAAATATGCGGTTGGGTTCGTTTTTTACGTATCGCTGCATGGTCCTTTACCAAGTACATTTGCCGAGTTATCAAAGAAAATTTATGCAAATAAAGGTCGTGAGAGATACTAATTAATGCAGAAGTAACGCACAGGAGAATTAAGCCAAGGCTATACTTAACGAGCCACGGCACAGACGACGCCGTCGACATGAGGTTATCAGGGCATGCATCGCTTCCTTGTACGATCTGAGGGCACTCGGCCATTGTTAATGTCTTGGACACGCCTCTTTCGAGACTGACCCTAACTGTTCTGCATTAATTTAAAGTCATTTTTCTAAATTCATCGTCACACTCGCTAAAGAGAACACGTAGCGTTTATTTATTAATTCATTTTGGTTTATAGCACTCTTATGTATCATTGTTATCCCCAGTAATACGTTTGTTGTACAAGACGGAATATAACTTGACTGGTTAATTACCCTTTCATAAACCTGGGGAAAAGAAAAGGTTGCTGATAATGTAATGAATTTTGATCCTCTGTTAAAATTGGAAGGTGTAAGAGCGACGGCTGATATAGACTTGTGTGCAATTTTCGAGATGCATGTAATACACGTATGACGTTAAAATATATATATATGTAAAATACATGTAGGCCTACTGTTTTTCTTTTTTAATATGTATAACCGAATTAAAATCAACTTTTGTAATACATCGGTGTTTTCTTTCTATCTTTCTTTTTCTTTATTTAATACCTTTTATTTCGTTTTTTAAATTCGCCTTTCTTTCTTTCTTTCTTTCTTTCTTTCTTTTTATTTTTGCAAATACATCTGTTTTCTATATTGCTCATGATTAGCGCAGCGTAAATAAATGGTTCAGATAATTGATTTGACTTAAAAAACTGAAGGAGAAAAGCCAATCGTTTGTTACATTGCTCTGCATATTCTTACATGGACTGATATTTGTAGTACGCATAACATTTGATATGAATTGGGCAGAAAAACTAGTGCATGCCGTCCATTTATTTTAAAGGAGAAATGTATGATTCAAATACATGCGCATTTCTGTTTTGCATTTTATAAATTATGTGAAGAATGAACAGAGAGGAAAATTTATAAATATAAATAATTTTATTAAAACTGTAACAAGCCGTTTACAATAACCACTCATAAATAAAAACTGAATAATCGGTGTTAATTCTAATGTACATGAAAAACAAATCTCTCCTTAAACATGTAACTGTTAGCTATGTTAAAGCAATGTTTAATACATGTGCAATCAAAAAGAAAATCAAGAGGCCATATCAATGGCAGAGCAAACACATTTAGTATCATATACACAGACTGAAGAATGCATTTATGAAATGAATTTTTATGAATGTAGAAGATAAAGCAGATAGGAAAAGTGACGCAAGTTAAGTCACGGTTAGTGGTAATCACTGGTCACGTGATGATAGCGTTTCCTCCAAAAGGCTCCATTTCTGCGCTGTCGAATTTGAAGTCTTTAGCCCCACAGACTTAGAACTTGTTGGTCTTTCTGTTCACAGCAACACCCGCACAGAGAAGTCATTTCCACTCAGGACAAAAAACAACCAACAAAATAAGGGTCAAACCTACAAAAAATGAATATGCAGGTATTTTTTTATTTTATTTACACCACAATGTTGGAATGCTCATTGTCGTAGCACTTACTGTCAGTGGTCTTAATGGATGCAATAAAATTTTTGTATAAATTTGAAAAGAAATGTGTAAATTGAATTGCAGAAATTATTGTGCATAATTCACCGGGAATCTTGTCACCGTGCACCGTAGCGATGAGGCATGCATTAAAAATGACAAGGAAGAATACCTGATTTTTACCTGATAATTAAAGACATGTGCAGGTCCGTAGCCAGCAATTTCAAAAGGGGGTTCTTTTTCTGAAAAAGTGGACCTTTTTCCATAAAAACTTAATGTACCTAGATCAAATTTTACCCAGAGTGGACCTTTTCCCAGCTAAAGGAGCGGTTCTTTTGAACCCCCCGAACCCCCCTGGCTACGGGCCTGCATGTGTGAATGAAAATGATGCTTTTTTTTACCTTTATATCTAGCGTCTCCTAACCCTGATAATAGTTGTTTTGATAGCTGGGATATCCAGAGTTGCCGTAGTAACCTTGGTTAGAGTATCCAGAGTTTGTCCCATAGTACGATGGATTGCTGGCCTGTGTTCCATAGTTGTAGTTCTGCCCATACCCATTATACCCGCCGCTGGTTTGGTAATTCACGCCACTGTTATACGGCTGAGATTGGTAGTATTGGTTGCCATACCCTGCGTAACTGCCGTACCCCGCGTTGTTATACCCTGCGTTATTACCATACCCCACGGTACCACCGTACCCGGCATTGTTATTATACCCCGGGGTGCCACCATATCCGGCGTTGTTATACCCTGTGTATGTTGGATCATTGTAACTCTGGTAATTGTTGTCACCTTGGTTACTGTATGTAGGGTTACCGCCGTAATTGCTCTGGTACAACTTTCCTTGGTTACCATAGGCCGTGTTCCCGCCGTATGTCTGTGACTGGTAGCCTTGATTCACGTAGCCAGGGTTGCTGTTGTAGGTGGTCGAAGGTCTTGCGTACCCTACGACGTTGGTCCCACCATAGCCGACGTTTCCACCGGTTCCCCCTGTGGCGCTGGGTGTGGCTGCGGCATTAGACCCCCCAATACGCCCGGAAGGAAACTGATATGGTTGTGCCGCCGACGGCGTCAGTATGGCCAGAGCAGCGATAAGGAACACAAGCAAGGCGTTCATATTGTCGCCGGGCAGGATCACGATGGTCGCAGGGGCTGGGGAGCGCTCGCGCGGCTGCTCTGAATGTCTCAATCACATACACCAGGGATGATATAGGCGGTATTATCTACCATTTCCAATTTTAATATGTAAAATCCCGGTTACGTATATTAAAGTCTTTAGTCACGTATGAGGAAACGAAATGACCTTTATCAGGATATTTGATAAGCATACATGGAGAACACTTAATGGTAGCCTTACTGCAGCGTTCCATTTGGGAAATTATAGGTATGCAAATTGGGGGCGTTTTAAAGATACGTTTCGTATATGTATTTAAATAGTGCCACACCAGATTAAAAACGGCGATTTTTCAATGTGCGTCTCCATCGTACATGTCAATAATTAACATATCTTACTGGCTTGTTACCTCGTTAACACGCGCATCCACAATCATGCACGCATAGACATACACCTTACCATTTTAATTATTTAAAATATTAATGTGAACAGTATTTTCTCCTTCCTGGACTGGGTGTATCTCGGGCCATGGAGGGAGGCTCCGCGAGGATAAAATTAACAAACAAATTTCATAATCAAGAATTCACCTTAGGGTCACCAAATGGTCTTTTGGATTCGTTTTATATAAGTTTGTCTGAAAGCGACAGGGCGTGATAAACAGCATCATCAATGAAGGGCAGGTTGGGAGATTCAATTAGAGGTGATTTCTTCTACAGAGAATAATTTGACTTTTGTGGACTTCTTAATCTGAATCTGACTTTTGAATCTTATATTTTTTTATCGTACATATGGTTTTTTGTAATTGAAACCCTTTGAACTTTGCCATTTAATTTCACACCAGTATGCCTTCAAACTTGTGGTAATACAATGGAAAACATTTTGCTTCTTAAAGGGCAATTTTATTTTGTCTTGACTGCCGCACGTACTCGCGGAAATAAAATTTCTTTTTACTGGTATCATTAGCTACAGCATTTTACTTTTGAATGATGTGTGATGAAATTAAGTATATGTAATAAAAGCCACGCATGAGGTCTACCAGAAAAAGACAAATTACTCTAAATCTCTATTAGCAACAGACGCAGCATAGCCTCTAATCCAAACCTAGTGCAGATGCTATGAAAGTTGATCTTCAGACTCGCTTTAGATCTCTTTCAAGCCAGGCATTGCCTGGCGGCAGAGCGTAAAGTCAAAAATATCAAAAACAGGCTCTGGTATTAAAAATAATACTCACAAGACATCAAATACAAAAGAAACACGCCAAGAGGTTTCATATACAGTATACTGGATGGTCGCCGTGAGAGCATTCAGATAAGTGCTGCAGTCCATATGTGGATTGTTACTATAAAAACAATACATTAGGGCTGTGTTTGCATACAAATTGGAAAGACCGATTCATTTATCCTTTGAGCCCTCCGAAACCAAATTTAGCACCAAAACCGGGAGCATGACCACCGTTTACAAACCTAGGACCGAAACTGCTACCAAAGCCAGAACCTTTCCCTCCTAGAAAGCCCTTGAAACCAGGTGCAAAGTTTCCACCAAAGTTAAAACTGTTTCCGAAACCGAATGGGTCGCCTTTTCCACCGAAGATGTTTCCGAAGCCAAATGGATTACCAATTCCACCAAAGTTAAAACTGTTGCCGAAGCCGAATGGATTGCCAATTCCACCAAATTTTAAATTATCTCCGAAGCCAAATGGCTGTCCTATTCCACCAAAGATGTTTCCGAAGCCAAATGGACCGCCAATTCCACCAAAGTTGAAATCATTTCCGCAGCAGAATGGGTCGACTTTGCCACCAAAGTTAAGATTGTTTCCGAAGCCGAATGGGTTGCCTTTTCCACCAAAGTTAAAATTATTTCCGAAGCCGAATGGCCCAACTTTACCACCAATGTTAAGATTGTTTCCGAAACCGAATGGGTTGCCTTTTCCACCAAAGTTAAAATTGTTTCCAAAGCCGAATGGGTTGCCCTTTCCACCAAATTTAATATTATTTCCAACACCTAGTAGGTCACCCTTTCCACCAAAGTCTCTTCCACCATACCCGTAGGCGTTGCCAATGTCCATTCCACCATAACCAAAAGTGTTGCCTTTGCTTACTCCCCCAGAGCCCTTGATATTGCCAATGTCCATTCCACCATAGCCATTGGCGTTGCCATTGTTCACTCCCCCAGAGCCCTTGATATTGCCATTGCTCATCCCACCGTAGCCATTGGCGTTGCCATTGTTCACTCCCCCAGAGCCCTTGATATTACCATTGCTCATTCCACCATAGCCATTGGCGTTGCCATTGCTCATTCCACCATAGCCATTGGTGTTGCCATTGCTCACTCCCCCATTACCCTTGACATTGCCATTGCCCATTCCACCACCGCCATTGG